GATCGTTGGTCAGGAAACCGGAAGAAACTCCCTTCTCTCTTTGAATAGCTCTATAGCATCTTTCATATCCACCTAAACAGGCAGACAGGACCTCGTCCTTTAACAGCTCATCAAAAGGACACCACTTCTGATAATACAGCAGTCTCCCAGTACTGCACCTGTCAGAATAGTCTGTAAATTTAGAGTCCTGATATTAGACTTTTGACAACCTTTTGACATAGAGGTGTTACCCCCTGAGCCAGGCTAACAGACCTATTGATCTATTGTGTACTGAGATAGTAAGTGTTAGAATGCAATTGATGATATTGGTGCAAAACAAAGTTCAGTTGTAATTCATTATATACCCCACCTCTTAGCAGAAAGGAGAAAAAGTATTATCCGATTAATTTTTCCTACCGTTTTCAGTGTTCTTCAACTTCAATTGTCTCCTGTGTGTATTCAGATCTCTTTAAAAAGATTACCATCTCCCTTTGTGTCTTTTAGAGATTTTTAACAAAAGCTTTTTGCAATTTTGCAAAAGAGATGATGAGAAATAGTTTGGAGATGGAATTATAGCCTGTTGAATCTAGAATGATCAGCCAATGCAGATTACATATGTATGCTTCAGCACTTTTCATTCAATATTAGATTCCTTTGCTTACCAATTCCCTCAGTTTAAAAGCAATTGTTTTGTTTCTGTAAAAAAGTTGAGCATGTTTTAAAGTATATGGATAAGACTCCTTTTAATATGTACTATAGATCCTGATGGGCTTGGTGGAAGGGGGAGGGGAGTGGGACGTAAAATAAGGTTTAATTTCAGTAGTGAGAAGACATCAACAGCAGTTTAATGCTAGTTCAGATAACTGGACTTGGTACTTGTACTGTTAAATTAACCAAACCGAAAAGTTTATTTTAAGCCGACACCACTCAACAACAAATATTGTAAATGGATACCTGAGGGATGTAATTATTTTCTATTTTAGGAAAATGAATCATCTTTTTTTTTACAAACACATCACCACAATGATACCAATAACAGTAAGGCAAATCAGGCACATTATATAATCTTGCAAAAAGTAATGGGATAATGAAGGCAGCCACATAATCATGAAACATGATGACTGACCAAAAACAACACATACCAAATCACTATTTCATTTTACAAAGATGTTTCAGAATTAAGAACAAAATAGCATGAAAAAGTCCTATGAATACAATGTATATTTACAATTAAGAGTCACGGTTAGAACAATTTGACTTTCATTTCTGATCGCAAAACAAGATACAGATAGGTTAATGAACATCTGGGATACAATACAAAAAACATTAATTGAAGGGGTTTGGTATCAAAAGCTCAAAACCAACTTGGGTTCATATACACCTGAGCAATCCATTCCAGACCAATTAGTCATTTGATATAAAATCTAAAGAAAAGATCCTTTCAACTTTTTGCCAATTGTTTCTCCCTTATTCTCCTAAAAGTGCTATTTATTTCTGAAGTATTATTTCACAGGTTCCAGGAGCCCTGTGATATTATACAAATGGCTACGTTTTGCGTGTGATCCAAGCCAGTGTTGGCAGGCTATTTGACCGTTGAGGACATCACACCTAACGGCTGCACATGAGCACCTTCCCAGCATGGATCACTATTTAATGATCGGGAGCTGGAACCCTTTCTGCTTATTTCTCTCCCCAGTCCAGACTCTTAAGACCAATAGCAGCACCTCAACTATTGGTCCAGTTGAGATTAGCTAATATCATGGACTGGAATCGAACTTGAGATCTTCAGGTCTGTATGGCTTTGAGTTGAACTCAGCCACATCTTAATCCAGTAGATAATTTGAGGGGGAAAGGGGGAAACCCTTGACTGTATGTTTAAAGGTCGAGACAAACAAATATTTATTAGACTATACAGGTCAGAATGATGGATTCACAATTAATGAATTAAGAAAAAAAAAAGATGCTTTGGTTCACATTCTGATATCAGAACTTTAAAAAATATATATTTGATTATTACACAAGCTAGGTGATTTGCTTCATTACTGCAGAACAATGTTTAGGCTTTAAACAATTTGGTTAAAAATAGCAGCATCATTGAACAAAAATGACCGATACGTGTGGGATAATTTGCTTCCTCTAGAAATAAAACCTGCTCATAAAGAACAATAGAACAAAACATGGAAATTGTCACATATGGAACTAACAATTTACAAATGTCCTTCCAGCCATATTATTTTTTGTAGTACAGTAAGCACTTTATTACTCCAGTATTCCTCATCATTTAAGGATTGAAAGTGATACTAACAACAGCTATTAGATAACGTAAAAACAAACTATGGCAAGAAGGGATTTGTGGACATGTGTTCAGTTTTCACTTTGTTTAAAGGTAAGATTTTTCAAGTACAGGAAGCACCATGGAATCCTACAAATCAGTTTCATGCACGCTTTGACACTGCATAAAAGTAGGGACTTGTACTATGAATATATTTGTGCTGTGAGAGGTACAACATAATCATTACCTTCGCTCATTGTGCCCCAATTCCACTCAGACACAAGATTCTTGATTTGAATATCACAAGAGATTCAGGTGATGGAAGACCTTTCATCTCATTTACAATACAATTTACATTTAAATAGCACCTTTCATATCAGGAGGATCTCATCTCCAAGAATCCAACCCCACTCTTCTCATTACAGGATCCAGCCAATTTTAAAACAAGTCCAATGTCAATGGCCAAGTCTCAACTAACTTCCTGGTAACCTGTTTTAGCTTTTGATTACAATCTGTGTAAATAAATGCTTCTTTTGTCCATTATTGCAGGACATCACTTTCTGGGAGTTCCAGTATTACCCAGTTAGCAGGAAGAAAACTCTTTCATCCCATCACCTTACTGGTTAGATCCTCATTTGAGGCTTTCAAACGAGTACAATATTTATTTTGACATTATTGAACTTCACTCACGGAAATTAGGATGGACGGCACATGCATCTCACAGTACAAAAATGGTGGAAGGAACAGATGGATACAGTCTAGTACTTAATATTGCCCACTTCATAAAGAACTCAAGTTTTCTAAATAGCAAATCAGCATGATTAAATTTGATGAGTGCCAAAATGAACAAGAGTTCTGAACCGTGTAGAAAGAGGGAGAAAGGAGGCTAAACTGAGGACATCACACTTAAATATCATTTGGATGAGATGTTAAAACAAAGGACCTACCACCTGCCTGTTTTCAGACAGATGATAAAGATACTATAACTATCGAAAAGGAGAACTTTGGAGCTGCAGAGCAGTCATTGGGGGAAGGAGGGGGGGCAGCAGGAATTCTTCCCTCTCAGCTTCAGTAGGAGAGTCCTGGAGTTTAGGCACTGCCTGGCAAGAACCAAAGTTTAGAGACCCAGAGTGTGCATTGGGGTACTGCCAGAGTTTAATCAGTTAAAACTGTAGTTCATCATAATCCTCTAGATTAGTTGGTCATACACCTCATGAGAAATTGTGGGACCCTATTGGCCAACTGCCATTTGTACTTATGAAAACAGTCACCACACTAGATTGTAACTACTTAAGGAGGAATTTGACAAGATATTGTACAATAACAATTCAAGTTCTTTTTAGCTGCACATCACAAGTGGCTTATTTGTGGGGTGTATGTGGTGGTGGTGGGGGGGGGGGGGGGGGGAGAGGGAAAAAGCAACAGAATAAATTTGACAAATGTGTATTCTCTCCCAAGCCCACAAGCCCCACCCTACACATTACAGCTCTGGTCCTGAATATCATTCAGAGACTTACACCATTCTTCTGGAGGCTGAGATTGTGCTTTTTTATCTCTTCAATTAAATGCCTTACCTTAAAAAAATTATATTTAATAACAATACGGATAGAAATAACTAACATGTTTGGAAGAGCTTTTGATTTTGCTGCTAAAATCCGTTTTTCAGCAAAGGAGAAACAGTTCATCAATCTGTAAATATAGATCAACTCAAGACTGATTTTTGCTCAGTGGGCTATCTGACACCTATCACTGTACTTAAGTGTCCAAACCAATTACTGAGCCCCACATATGTATGGAAATTTCTGAACGTCTGAGGTGGAGTGTGGTCTCTCCCTCCCAGAGGGACACAACCTGCTTAATTAATCCCAGAATCGAATTGCCATAAACCAAATGGGAAATCTTATAGTTGAGAGTAGAAGTTGGCTAAGAATACAGAATGGCAAATTGAAAAGCTCGCTTTTCAAAAATAAAAACAAGTCACACTGAAAACTTTCACCATCATTAATAATTTCCTTGAGAAGGACTAGAATAAAGCATTCCTGTTTAAACATATGTGTGTAAACCCAAAAATATTGGACAAGTTAGAACTTCACTAGCTACTTGGTGTTTAGCAAACTTATTGGGACAGGATTATTTGTTTTGCCAACTTTTTTATAGAATTAATAAGTTGCCCTTAAAGGCAAATTATGCAAATGAACAGCAAGCAACTAAAAATACATAAAATACTGTGGAATGCTGCTTTGGGTTACAACTTAATAATGGAGTATGTCCAGGTATCAAAATGGGGTTAGTTATTTTTCAAAACCTTTCAGAACTATTTAATTTGTTTTATATGTTGTATTTTAGTGCATTCATTTTGTCCAGTTTCACTTTTGGAGGTATGAAACCTATTTCCTCCCACCTTTCCCTCCCCAAAACAATGACAGGGTTAGCCAAGTCATGCTAAAAAGAATCTGATCTTGGGCTTCTGCCAATGCTGTTCTTCAAGTGCTGGTAGGCAACATACCATCGATGGCTTTCCAATTTTCGCTGCGCCTTCCCTCGCTACCCCTGCCTTGTGGGGAGATGCCAGGCTTCTGTCGAGCATCTCTACAGAATGTCTAACATCAGAAACGTGATCAAACCTGGGTGTCTCCACTCTCTGGTACCCGTACTGCGGTGACCCAACGGTGACCCAACGTGATGCGCCATCTTTCACGTTTAAACAGGTTAGGAAATATCAAGTAACAAGATTAATATTGGTCCAGAAGACTTTTCCAACAAAATAATTTTAATATACAACAGGAGACATTATTCAGTACTTGTACTCTTGGAAACAATTATGTGCAATTTCTGATCTCTTCACATTAGTCTATCAATGTAGATATTTGAGAATGAAAAAATAAGTAAAAAAATGTTCACTACAATATGCTGTCAACTGTAAAGAGTCATTCATCATTTTGATTCCAGTAGACGCGTTCTGAAAGGGCTCGGAATATATTTCCTGGTATTATTTGATGTTGGTCTATTAAGCCCTGCACAGCTTGCTTTGCCTAGGAAAGTGAAAGGACAAAAGGATAAAATTACACATGAGCATTACAAATTATTTGAAAATCATGACAACAAGTGTTTTACTTATTGCCTTGGCAAATGTAGTTTGTATATTGCCCTAGAATTAGTCTCTTCTGTCCCTGCCAACAATATTTTTCTGTACTCTATGCCCCCATAATAATAGTTACATTTGTATGGCACCTTTCATGTTGGGAGGACGTCCCAAAGCACTTTGCAGAATAAAATGTAAATTGCAGAAACTGTTTTGTGGGCCCATGTATCCATTTCCAAATTGGGCAGGTTGCCTGTTCCTGGAACTTTCAGCTCTGCTAATTTTCAATTACTCAGTTCGATCCATGCACAGATTAATTACGCCTTGTGAAACATTATAGGAACAAGCCAGGACCCTAGTAGAAATTGGCAGTGCTTGTCAAAGGGTTGCTTCAAGTCCAGAGAGATACAGGAAATACATTTGTAGTAAGTTTAATTTAATGAGATGCAACTGTATGACTTTCTTTGTAAACAGAAAAATAAATTACCTTTTCAGCCAGTTCAGCAGCAGTTATGTTGGGTTCATAAGGAATAGGATCTCCCAAATAGGTGCAAAATTTTACAGGAAAACCTCCATAAATAGGAACAAATGGCCACTTAAATTTTTCATATAACCACTTAAATATTCCTGTTGATTAAATTAGACAAGTGAAAGAGCTATGGTGCTGGTTACGATAAAACATTATGCTCAGCCAACTTAAGCAACAATTTGATAAGTGAAGTTAGTTTGATGCGCACTGAAAAAGCACTTGACAATATCTTATTGAAAAACTGCCTAAACTAGACTGATTAGCAAGTGTGATCTAAGTATTTCTCCATTTATCCCAGTAAAAAATCTCTCCCATTTATGCTTTCAATGGACTCAAATGTCTATTCAAAGCTGCAACCTGTTGCATTAACCATGATATCAATGACATTTATGGCTGTTTTATTCTATGTGTTGTTGGTAGTTTTCAAAAATCAGAAAGCCATGTTATAAACTGCAACTAGTTTATATCAAAGCAGTCTGGCCAAGAATGTTTTATGAAGCAAATGGTATTGAAAAATCAATTTTAACATTGTCGGTCGTCATTTAAAAAAACTGAAAAAAAATATTTATCTTTAATAGAGTGATATTTCCCTTCCTCCCATGGTTAATGTTTATGTCTTCCTTGGGCAGCAATGCATCTGAGTTTATACTCAATTTATAATTGGTAGATTCCTAGTAGTGACAATGAAACAGTCTTGGGACTTTAAGGTCAATGACCAAATTAAAGAAGATCAATCCTTTAAAATAACGCCCTGTGATATATTTGTGTCTTAACATGGATTGTGACAGGGGCTTCAGATATATCAGTGAAATGATGTGATACACTGCTAGAAATCACCAATGGAGAAATTAAAAGGCAAATAAACGAGTAGTGGATCATTAGATTGTGTCTTTGAGATACTCACACTAGGCACTTTAATGTGAATTTCAGTAACTAACAGTACCTTGAAGGGCATAGCTAATGGTTAAAATGGAAATCAACTATTATTCTCAATATCATACAATACAAAAACAGAAGCCACTGGGAACACTCAGCAGGTCAGGCAGCATCGATGGAGAAAGAAAACTGAGTCAACGTTTCGGATCCACGACCCTTCGTCAGAACCCGAAACATTGTGGAGTCCTGTAGCTCAGTGGTTAGAGCACTCGCTTTGCAAGTGAGAGACCTGAGTTCAATTCCAGGCAGAGGGCGAAACCTTGGGCAAGTTTCCTTACTCCACACAGAGCCTAATAATAATCCCTCCAAAACAAAAAACAATAATAAATTGGTCATTTTCAATCTACGACTGTTTGTGGGACATTGCTGTGCGCAATTGGCTGCCGCGTTCGCTCACAAATATACAGTCAATTCACTTTACAGTGTGTTCTGTGAAGCGCTTTGGGACGTCCTCCCGACGTGAAAAGCGCTATATCAAATGCAAGGATTATTATTATTATTATTATTATTGACTCACTATCCTTTCTCCACCAATGCTGCCTGACCTGCTGAGTGTTCTCAGCAACTTCAGTTTTTTTCTTTCAGATTTCCAGCATCTGTAGTATCTTGCGTTTTGATCATACAATACACTTTAGTTAACAAAAATGAAATACTTACCAAAACCTCCAAAAATCCTAAATCCTTCTCGAATATTCCGTGTAAACATAGGAATAATGGGCTAAAAGATGATAGAAACCCATTTAAATACACATTATAAACTTTGCAACTTACATTTAAAAACTTTCGAGAACAAGTATGTCAATCAATTAACAGACAAGTGCTTGAAAAGGTGATTCACCCAATTCTGTATCTTAACAGAGGCAAGTCAACAGTTTATAGCTGATCAGAAGGAGATCAGGCTGCATCTCCAACCACTAACTATCGTGTCCTATAGTCTAGTCAGAACACATTAGGAGCTTGACAGCAGTAATATACTAATTTTATTTGCGTTTCAGTTTTACTACTTAGATTATGTTGCCATAAAAGACCACATGCTTTAAAGAGGTAGGGCTTCAATTTGTTCAACAAAATGGTTGCCTCAAGAGAAATAGATGCACTCAGCTATTCAGACTCATAAATACATTTTTATTCATCTGCAAAGCATTTAAAAAGAACTAATTGCAATGTCCCACTTATTGAGCACAAATTGTGCACAGTATTTAGGTACCAATCTAACTGCATGTGTAAATTATCAGTTTAGTAAGGTCACATGATGGAATGGACCTGATTCATACGATGACATACATGGTCTGTAATGCAATATAAAAGCACGTGTTACATTGGTGAAAATATACTCAGAATTCACACTAGGTTTCAAGACATCACTCTCAGTGCAACCTTATTGTTCCCCTCATCCCTGCTGGCAATAAAATAACAACAACTTGCACTTATACAGTGCCCTCCACGCAGGGTAGCATCTCAGAGCACTTAATAAATCTTTGTGAAGACCGAAAGCTTTCACACGAATGTGAAATTTGTCAGGATTCATCATTCACTTTTCTAACCAAATATGAACAGTGTTATCAGTTTTGGACATTTTTGCTGTTCAAAATGGCTACGCCTTACATATGTTCACTATCACTTGTGGGAGGACTGGACCACTACATGTATGTAGGAATATGTTCCCTTATTAACATTTTATCCAATCACTTAATGGGATATACAGCCATGGATGTGGAGGGGGGAGGTTGTGGAGGAGGAGGAAGAGGAAAGATTAGATCCATCTTGTACTACACAAAAAAAAAAGGACTTTTCTCTACTGGCCAATGCACCAAATCACTCTTGACAGAAGAATCCAGTCAATCACATGCTCACTCTTAGAATGGAAAGGAGGGGCATGCGACACTAACAAATGTAATAACGAGCCTAGAATTTGATACAGCACCTTTCACATTGGGAAGACATCTCAAAGCACTTCACACACTGCTTCCTGTAATGCAGTGACTAGTATTTTGTAGGCAAGCAGTTGCAAGTTGGGGTTAACTTAAAGTGCCTTGCAACATAATCTGCATTTTCTGCAGGGAATCTCAAGTACCACAGAACTTTGTATCAAGAAATATTGGCATCGAGTTGGCATGATACACAAAGTTCCGTGCTGCAAGCACTCTTTTTCTGACAGCCAATACATTTGCTGATTTCAAGATAACTCTACAATAAACTTAAGCTTAAAAAGTATTCAATAATACATTTACTACAAAAAGTGCTGCTTAACTTCACTTACCACTTGGGCATCAATTGCCACTTGAGCAAATCCTTTCCGATTACTCCAAAAGATGCCATAAGTCTCATCACTAAAGAGTGCTTCACGTACACCTCCAGGTGAGATGGCCAACAAGTGACCATTTTTCAATGCTTTAACACACTCCTCTTGTGGACCATGCATAACGCTAAAAACCTCCAACAATAACTTAAAGCCTGAACGAGACAAGATGTGATGAAATTACACATTTTTAAATTTTTTTAAAAAAAAACTGTTCTGTAATGCTCACCTTTACTAGTTTTATAATCGTGATTGAATTCTGCAACACTATAGCCTGAACTAAAACTTATGTACAATACAAGGAGGATAATGCCTGCTGCTATACAGTGAAACAATGAACTCTAAGCGTCTTAACTTAGCCTTAAGTGTCACAACATTGGTTTCCTTCCATATTGTTTGGAAAAGAAAATCTGTTTAAACAGGCTTTGGAGAGGTAATGGTTCCAACTATCCGAAAAGAGAACAGCGTTTATCCCAGTGTCCTGGTCAAAAATCCCCCAAATAGAATTGTCATTCACTTCATGGCTGTTTGGGGGATATTACTGTGTACAAATTGGCTGCCACATTAGCCCACACAAAAACAATATCCTGTGAAGCATTTTCAAAAGCCCTCAACATGATTATTACTATTAATGCAATTCCAAATTTATCTGATTTTTTATATATTTTACCTAACATTGTTGGCAGATAATAAGGCAAATCTATCCTGCAAATAACAGTGAGGAGAAAAAATTAAAACTACATACCTGGTAACTTAAATAGAAAATGGTCAGCTACGGAGTGACAGGGTCGTCCTTTCTGGATTATTACTTTAGCTAAAAAATAGTAATAGTCTACAGGAATGGCACCATGATAATAAACAATCAGGACAGGACCTTCATCAGGAATCTTTTCCAATCCATGAACTTCATAACCTAAGGAAAGAAGCATAAAGTTTGCAACTCCTTTCAGAAGGTGTAGGATTATTATCAATTGTATACAAAAACATCAGGAAACATATTGAAACTCCATTTCACAGCAAATCCTGTGAAGCACTTTGTGACATCCTCCGATGTTAAAGACCATACCATATGCAAGGATTATTAAGTATTTGCTGAAAATAAACAGAGTTCTTGAAAGAGGTTTTGGTATGGACAAAATATGCAGCATTGCAAAGGTAGCTGTCATATTAATAATTACTTCAGTCAATCCAAGTTAAACTTGGATCTCACATTGATGTCTCAGTATTGTCAAAGTATTTATTAAGATATCAAATAAAACAGCATATAATTTGCACCGCCTACTTGCATAACTATTATACACTTTTATAAATTTAAATCACGTTGCTATAATCCTCTAAATGTTAGCAGAAGTAAAGCAAAATTAACTTAAAGACCAGTGGAGCTTTGCTGCAGAGTTAACCATTACTTAAATTCTACTAGTTTTCTATAAATAAATAACAAGTTAAATAATCAATTGACAAGTAGAGAAGGATTGCTGCTAATCTCACAAGGGCACAATTTTAAGAGGTGGCCTACAGTCAGATCTAGCTTCCCATAAAGGCACTGACTGCACTGTTACAGGTGCATTTTTTTTCATGACTTTGGTCAACCTTTCAGCTGATCCAGAGATATGACAGTTAAGTTGGAGCAATTACAAGGAGCAAGTGGGACTAGAGTACATTCTCACTTTAAAATGAAATCACGTATGCTACTCCCTTCAAAGATGTTAATTTGGTCCTGTAATCCCTTTGTAATACAAAAATAATGATTAATATGCATACAAGTCTTAAAATAAATTTTAATTTTTGCAGCAGTTCTGAATGACTTCTGTAAGAGAACAATGAGCGCCGCATAATTAATTACCACTGGGCCATTATCTAACAATTCTTTGTTGGTCTATTTCCTTTTGCCATTTCTATCTATAATAATCCTTGCATTTCGTATTTGATATTTATTCTACAGAATATTGGAGGTGAAAATCTGGAATTTACTAAACGTATGAAAAAAGCTGTTAATGCTAACAGTATTTTCAAATTTATCACATGTATCCCTCATGAATGAAGAAAGCAAGACTGTTTGCTAAAACAGAGACAACAGCTGAAGATGCTGCTGTTAAGGGTTTCACCAAGATTATTAGCGGAGCATTTATGAAAACATGCCAACTAATCTGCAACCCTCATGCAGTTCAAGGTGATAACTAAACATTCTGATGGTGCTGCTATAATTGAAATGTGTCTGATTTTTCAATTTAGTTAATATGAAAATCAAGTTTATATTTTACTATGGACTAGTCTTTGCGAAACCAGAGATAAAGCAACTTTCTAAACTGGTTACGGATTCTGTAGTAAATGATCGACTAAACTTGACAAATTTAAAAAAAACGAATTATTATCAATGCAGAATCCACCCCCATACAAAAAAAAGTTACAGATGTTATGTAATAAACGCCTGCTCTTAATTTATTATGTATTCTGTTCAGATCATCCTCAAGGTGGGGGTCGGGGGGAACAAAAAAAGGAATTCTGTTCACAATAAAAAAAACACCCCCATGAGGTTATTCTTTTCCTTTGTAAGCAATTGGAGAATGGTTTAAAACCTTCTGACACTTGAAAACAATTTGCAAGTTTCAATTAAATCAGTGCAAACATTTTGTTGATCTCTTAGTACCATTCAGCAATGCAGGATATGTTTGCCAAATCAGAACACAGATTTGTAGTGGTTTACTTAATTTTAAAGTGAAGCTTTGCAGGAACGTGAAAAATCACAGAGGCCTGTGGACAGGTGACATGAGATTTGTTTGTCTTACTGTGAAACAGATCATTGCTTATGAAGAAAATGAGAAACAGTTGCTGGCTCCGAAATAACCTCTCTTAACCTAACTTCACAAGAATACTGATGCTAACACTGAACCCTGGAGGTTAGTTCAAATAATTTATAATTATTAAATCAGGATATTAACACAAAATTGGCCAACATAATCTCAATCCTGCTAGTGTTAATTCCGACCCATATTGTGCAGTTCTTGGCTACATTAGGTTTTTAATATGTTTGATTCTACTAGAAAATCCACCATTTACAGCCTCATTTCCAGCAACTAGCAGAATGGGATGGGAGAATGCTGTTCTGAGTGTGCTTTTACTTTATCAAAAATAGATTTGGGTTTTAAGAAAGTCTTTAGAAGTACATTGAGTTCTTGTGATAGCCTTTCATAAAACAAGCAAAAACTCAATTGAGTTGAAGATTTAATATTTTTACATCAATTACTCTTGTGCTCAATGGCAAAGGAAGTAAAACCACCAGTAAGTCGGCAAATGCGCTAGGAGTCTAGTGGGAGTTTACACGCGGACCCACAGAAATTGGTACTTACCAATAAGTACCCTTAAATTCACTTAAAATAAAAATGCTGCTGAAAAGGGTGTCTGAACACCAATATGGCTAAAAAAAGGGTAACCACTGGTTGCTTTAAGACAGGTGGTTGCCAATTAGAGATGGTTTATTATGGAAAATTGGTCGATACTGTTCTAGGGACTGTTGTTGACAGCAGGTGGTTTCTGAATAGGGGTGGTTGACGAATAAAGACAGTTGTTGAATAAAGGTGATTTCTTTAACAAGTTTGACTGTATATGCACTTCTGCAGTGTTTATAAAAAAGTTTGATAACTTGGGAACAAATTTAATATAAATTAGGAATAGCTTTCACTCAGACCCCCAAACGCCTGGTTTTGGTGCATAACATAATTTTTTTTTACTTTTTAACATTATTGAAGAAACAATCACATCTCTACAGGATGAGTGGCCCAAGAGTTTCAAAAGAGAATGGAGGCCAAGCTCTGTTAATCATGCAGCCCAAACACAGAAATAACAAATGTTTGAATGTGGGTTTACCTGTTCCACCACACTATGCATTGGTTCAATAAATTTGGACCAAATTCAACTTTTAGAGAAACTTTTGAAACACCATTCCTGTGTTCTCTGTAAAAATAGAACTCAATAGTACAACGGGCACCTTCTTCCACCTTCAGCCAGACCTCTTCTGCTCACAAATCAGTATCTGCACACTGCAGGGACTATATGACCTTGAATCTACGTAAAATACATTGTGACATTTTGAGAATTTTCATTTCTACATGTCTTGACTTCAAACAAAACAATGATACTGTCTTTACAATCATTTCAAAATTTATCCTCCAGCACTTTAAAAAAAACTCTCCCAACCAAGGTTAAGAGAGAAAACACAGCAAGTTTGCTTTCCCATTCAGAAGGACCGTTAAGATTCCATTTTCCTTGAGACGAGATTAAACATTTCAAATTCACCTAACCCTAACCCTAAGTACGTTTCCCATAAATAGAAAAACATGGATATTAAAGCTTTATCCAGAACATTGTTTTTAGAAACGGGAATAGGCCATTCAGCCCCTCGAGTCTGTTCCGCCGTTCGATAATTTATGGCTGATCTGCACTTCAACTTCATTTACCCACCTTTGCACCATATTCCTGATACCCTTACCTAAGAGAAATCTATCCACTTCAATCTTGAAAATTTGAATTGATCCACAGCGTTTGGGGAGAGATTTCCAGATTTACTCGAATTACCTTGTGTGTGCAAAAAGTGCTTCCTGATTTTACTCCTAAAGGAAGTTTTAATTTTATTTTAACCTTTGCTTCATTTAACATGAAAACGTACTAAAATACAGCCTTGGCTTTCTATTACCTACTCCATTTAGTTTTTGATGCAATTTTTTGCATGTCTTCTTAAAACACAAAAACATCTGAATCGCTTCCTATTTTGCTGTTTTTCTACTTTCCCACCTGTCCCCATGTTTCTCTGTGCGGGCTCCACATCCACACAGTATTTGAGTCAGTGATCTATATAACAGCAGCTGCTATTTCCAAGACTAAATCCTGGACCAATAGAAAAGTGAGGCCACACTTTCTTGGCGGAATCCGCTACAAACTTCCCCCCCCACTACAAACCCACTATAGTGTAGTTTGGGCCCTGGGCCTCTGCCCACACAGATAGAGTTGGGGGCGGGGTAGCTCCGGATGCTCACGTGCTGTGCAGCGCTAGCGGAAAATGGGCTTCATCTGGAGGCCCCGCCATTGTGATTGTCTGTGTGTATCTCTCTCTCTGAGTGTCTGTATGTCTATGCGTCTCTCTCTATGTGTTTATGTGTCTCTTTATATGTTTGTGAATGTCTGTATGTGTTTGTGTCTATTTGTATGCGTCTTTGTCGCTATGTGTTTGAGTGTCTGTATGTGTGTCTCTATGCATTTAAGAGTGTCTGTATGTGCGTCTCTGTGTGTCTCTCTATATGAGTTTGTGAGCATCTGTATGTGTGTTTCTCTCTATGTGTGTGTCTCTCTCTGTTTGTGAGCGTCTATGTGTCTCTCTCTCCCCCGATGTGTTTGTAAGTGTCTGTTTCTTTGTCAGTGTCTGTCTCTCTCTCTGTTTGAGTGTCTGTCTCTCTCTATGTGTTTGTGAGTGTCTGTGTGTCTCTTTGTGTTTGAGTGTCTGAGTCTCTCTCTATGTATTTAAGAGTCTGTGTCTCTCTCTACGTGTTTGTTAGTGTCTGTGTCTTTATGGTTTGTGAGTCTCTCTATGAGTATATCTTTCTCTCTATTTGTTTGTCTGTGTGTCTCTCTCTTCTGTGTGTCTGCCTCTCTGTACGTTTGTGAGTCTCTATGTGTATGTCTCTCTTTCTCTTAGTGTTTGTGTGTGTATCATTCTCCTGTGTGTCTGCGTGTGTCTTTCTGTTTGTGAGTGTCTATGTGAGTGTGTGTGTCTCTATGTTTGTGAGTGTCTCTGTGAGTATGTCTCTCTTTCTGTGCTTGTGTGTGTCTGTGTGTCTCTCTCCCATGCGTCTCTACTTCTGAGTGTCTATATGTGAGTGTGTCCCTCTTTCTCTCTGTGTTTGTCTGTGTCAGTGTGTCTGTGTCTCTCGCTGTTTGTGAATGTCTATATGTGAGTATGTCTCCCTTTCTCTCTGTTTGTGTGTGCCTCATTCTCCTGTGTGTCTGCGTGTCTCTTGCTGTTTGTGAGTGTATGTGAGTGTGTGTCTTTCTCTCTGTGTTCATGCATCTGTGTGTCTCTCTCCCCTGTGTGTGTCTCTCTGTTTGTGAGTGTCTATATGTGAATGTGTTTCTCTTTCTCTGTTTGTGTCTCATTCTCCTCTGTGTGTGCTCTCTCTATGTGTTTGCGAGTGTGTATCTCTCTCTCTGTTTGTGAATCTCTCTCTGTGTCTGTCTGTGTGTGGTCCCAGGTTCCTGAGAGCTCCTGTAGCTTTGCTGATGTCATCCCCCTCAAAAAAAAGGCCATCCATTTTTTTGTTAAAAGAAGCAATTAATCTTTTTTTTGCCACAATCTAATATGTGTTATTTTCTCATGTTTAGGTTTTATCAATAAAGTGAAAAAATGTAGGCTGGCAGTAAAATGTTCTTCAATAGCACCAATCAACCCCCCACAATTTTCCATAACATTTGCAAATCTCCCTGCAACTTTTGGCAATATTTCCGCAGTTTTCTATTGGCTCAGGCTATAACTGATGTTTCTCTCACCACTATATAAGCGCTAAAACACAAGAGGTCATTCAGTCCATCAAGCCTATTTCTTTCAGATTCATGTGTGATCACTCTATTCAGCCCTCATTGAGGATAATAATCCTTGCTTTTGAAATAGCACCTTATCCCATCTTCGAGTCTCAAAAGTGCTTCACAGAATATACTGTAAAATGAATTGACTGTATATGTTGTGGGCAAAACACGGCAGCCAATTGATCAGATTTTCAAAATTCAAGCTTCCTGTACTCCAAAGTAATCAAACAGGTGCTACTATTCCGAGAACCTGCAATCACCATACCATATACATAATAACGTATGACTTACAACTATGCCAGATATATCATATATCAATATATCAAGCTTGATAAATTGAATATTAAACAATATATGCAGCAAAAAGATAAATCTTTAGTAGATATGATCTGAGTACATTTTAAATATAGCTCCTTTGCATATTTGAACTTGTTACACAGGATTAATTGCTTTTAAGAAGCAATATTATTCTGTATAAGGCAATATAACAATTTTAAATGCATGCATTTTCAAAGAGTATTATCTATCAACAAGAAAAAACAATGACGAAGAGCAAAGAAGGAATACATTTCCTACATTTCAGTATTGCTTACCGTTTCAGTGTCTTTGTATATGAACATTTCAAGATAGAATAGAAATTTCTTGTGTACAATTATCTTTACCCCAACTTCAATACTAGATATTTTAAACGTGAAATCTTCTTTGGTTTAAAATATAAAATTTTCCTTCCGAGCCCAATGGTCTTCTAAACTACATGCATCTACCTGCACAACTATTATTTTCTGACAAGTGAAAATATACATTTTATTTAAAACTCTTTTTTCAAATATGTTAGAACATGTGGAACGCAACACACCATCTACTTTAAAAATTAAAATGTTTTTACCATGCCATATTGTTGCATGTCCATCCCACAGAGTTGCCAAGGTCTTCCTAGCACCGTCCCAAAAATTAATTGAATAAGCTTCTTTCAGTTCCTTCTTTCTTTTGTATACATGTAGGAAAAGAATGGATAGGTAGAGAAACAAAACAATAAACAAGGGTAGAATAAAGACAACGATGAATGGAGTGAAGACCCACAGGAGGTAGTCCAGGTAATTTAAGGAGCCTTCCAGGATTTCCAGGCCTGTCCATTTTTCCAACACGTCAATCATACAAGACAGAAAAGTGCCACAGTTTTGTCCTTCCTCATAGGATTCGTCAGCCATATTGAACAATCATCATCAAACACCAAAACACAGTGCAAAGAGTTTGCGGATCATTGCAGCAGGCATGAGCGTATTCTCTCTCAAGACCACAATGGAGTCGTTATGAAACTGCAGGAAAAAAAATAAAGAATTTTGATCATCTCAACAGAACTCCCTCCAGTATTCACCTTAGAGAAAGATTTGTAGTCAAGTTTAAAACAACTTCAAACTGGGTTTATCTGAGCCAGAGGTTTGGAAGTCAATTATCAATACTCCAATGAACTTTCATTTATTTTCTCTTCTTCGTAGTATAAACTGTACCATGCTTCCCTTACTGTATGACAACTAACAACTTCACGCAAATTATAATTTAGATTTCCATTATAATTTTATATTGATAACCACTAAACATTTTAATATTTTGTACTGTATTGCCATATGGTGCATTCATACAATTTTACATTTATATAATGCCTTTCACGTCAGGAGGACATCCTAAGCAACTTGAGAGTGCTGGCTTGGCACCCGATCTGAGCGTAGGAGCCAAGAGAGGCGGGTAAGGGAAATAACTGAAGCTTCGATCAAAGAGATGGATCTTGAAAGAAGTGAGGAAGGAGGTAAATCAGAGGGACTCTGGGATGGAGTTCCAGAGAGTGATATAACACAAGCTAGAAACAGGTTTAAAGCAATGCCCACTTTCTACAGTAATATTATTTACATGCAGTAGGGGAAGAAAAGACAGTAAAATTAAGGAAGAAATACTTGGAACCTTAAAGCATTCATGACTTCTGGATGATTGTCAATTTTCCTCTGCTACTTCTATGTTAGTTTTATCCACATGTTGCAGACTATACTACTGGCCTAGAGTCAAACTTAAAACTGCATTGCAAAGTAATGCAACAGTTTTCAGCAGCAGATTTGATATGCCAGTTACAATCTACTGATAAACTCTGTGGGAAACTCAGTAGCTTATCAATGGATTCACTGTACTTTAAGACACTGGCTCCAAAAAAGACCATATTTACTGTACTTTTTCTAAAATGTAGAAAACAAAACTGTACAAACAATACTATAATCTAAAACTGCAAAATTACATAATATAATTCAGTTTTCATTCCATACAAAATTACATTTGTACAGTGTCTTTCACGTTAGGAGGATGTCCCAAAGCTCTGAACAGTTAGGGATTTGGACCCGAGCTGGCGGGGAGGGCAGGGCATGGTAGGAGGGTGGCCGAAGGAGCAGTCGAAGGAGAGTTTTGAGATGTGCCTTGAAGGAAGCAAAGGAGGGAAAAGGGTGAAGGAAATGTAGTTCCAAAGGATGAGGGCAGAAAGACTATAAGCCCAAACGCCACTGGTGGGGCGGGCTGAACAGGGGACATGGAGCAGACTACAGCCTGCTGAGCGGAGGGAACAGGCAGGTTGATATGGGGTCATCAGATCGCAGAGGTAGGAAGGAGCAAGGCCGTGGATGGCCTTGAAGGTGAGGACAATGATTTTGAACTCTATCCTCTGGGGAATGAGGAGCAAGTGGAGCCGGGCGAGGGTAGGGGTGATGGGGTCACAGAGCCTGGTGTGGGAGAGGGCACGAGCTGCAGAGTTCTGGATGATCTGCAGCTTGTGGAGGGAAGCATTGGGAAGGTCAATGAGGAGGGAGTTGGCATAGTCAAGCCTAGATGTGATGAACGCATGAATAACAGTTTCAGCGGCCTGAGGGGTGAGACAATGGTGGAGCCAAAGGATGTTGCGGAGGTGGGGGAAGGCAGAGCGGCTCATGGCACGGATGTGGGGTAGAAAGGACAGTTGAGAGTCAAACAAGACACCAAGGTTCCGGACTGGCTTAGTGAGGTGGAGTGTGCAACCATGGATGGTGATGCTGCCAGTGCCTGAGGTGAGGTGGTGCTGCTGTGAGCCAATCTGGAGAGCCTCAGTCTTGTTGACATTCAACTGTAGAAGGTTAGTTGTCATCCAACAACAACAACAGAATTATATTTGTATAGCGCCTTTCACGTCAGGAGAACGTCCCAAGGTGCTGAACAAAGTTACGGACCTGAGCTGAGGGTCGGGGTTGGGGAGGGGGGAAGGCGGGGGGGCGCAGGGAGATTGAAAGCACAGTCAAAGAGGAAGATCTTGACGTGGGTCCTACTTAGGAATTAGGAGCAGGCCATTCGGCACTAGAGCCTGGCCCGAAGGTGGCGAGGGAGGGGGGGAGACGGAGGGACTGCGGGATGGAGTTCCAGAGAGTGGGTGCAGAGTAGTGGAAGACCCGCCCACCGATAGTGGTGCAAGCAAGGCAGGGGGCATGAAGCAGGTCAGAGCCCGCTGAGCGGAGGGAGTGAACAGGATGGAGGGGCTTAGGAGGTCAGAGAGGTAGGGGGGAGCAAGACCATGGAGGGCTTTGAAGATGAGGACCAGGATCTTGAACTGTATCCTCTGACAAATATTCTGTCAGGACAGCAGAGGTCCTGAAGTCGAGGGTGGAGGCAGAGAGATAAGAGTTAGGTGTCATCCGCATACATATGGAAGTTGACCCCATGTCTGTGCATAAGGTTGCCAAGAGGGAACATATAGATATTGAAGAAGAGGGGACGAAGGACAGAGTCCTGAGGAACGCCGCACGAGACGGTGGGAGAGCTAGGATCTGAACCATTCAAGGACAGAACCATGATGGTTGAGATGAGAGGAGGTGGAGGAAATAGTGGTCCAGTGGAATCTAAAGTGCAGATTTAGACACACATATTAATCAAAAATCAGATTCTGATTACATTTTCTTCTTTAGAATTACAAACCACACCACAAACAGCAAAATTCAACATATTCAACATCACTCAACTGCAGTAATTTAGATCCATTTTGATGCATCAACCCTATGCATTGGAACAGGAGTAGGCCATTAAGCCCCTCGAGCCTGTTCCGCCATTCTCGTAGATCATGGCTAAAAGCAAACATCTCTGTAGGTTTGAATGGGGGATACAATCTATTTCTCCTCATCTTTGTAAAGGATGTATTTCTCCTTGTATTGACAGCTTTGAACTTCAATTTCCAGACATAAGATTTTTTTTACAAAAAAAATCTAGATCTATGGTGATTATTTTACATTCTTTACTCCACCTATCATCAGACATACAAGCTGGACAGTTGCCAAGGCATAATAATAATCCTTACATTTGATATAGCGTCTTATCACATCTTCGAGACATCTCAAAGAGCTTCACAGAATATACTGTAAAGTGTAGTGTCTGTATATTTCGAGGACCAAAATAATTTGCTTACTAAAGGGCACCACTGCAATAATCAATTTTATTCCTTTATGTTTCGAGACACTACCCCACGTGAATGGCACTATAAGAATGCAAGTTGTAAATGATGTTACTGTTTTCTACATTGTTTTTCAATGCATAGAATTACTTTTTAAAAAGCTGGTCACACACTTCCAAGACTATTACTCAGCTAGAATGTTATGTGGTAATCCACCACGAACAGCACAGTGTAAAACTGCTTTACAAATCCATTCTTGTAAATTCTGGCAGAGGAATTTAAGGAATTGCCATCCATCAACAGACCTTTATCATTGCTTGGTTTGTAAATCACTAAATGCAAATCCAGTTCATCCTCAACAACTCAGTTTCAACCAGGTAGGAAGCTTAAGCACGAGTCTACACACCAGAATATGTGATCTTATTGTGTAGAGATACAAATACCTTCAATTCATTCTTTACATTTTGTAATTTCACAAAAATAACAAATATATTACTAGTTAGAAATGATCATTTACCTTTTGTTCCACACTTTAAGATCATTCCTCCTCGGTGCAGCGTATCCACAAGTGATCGAGGTGGCGCAAACGGGCTACATAAATGTTTAAAAATAAGTATTTTTAGAGAATGGAGTTACTGATGCCAATTGTGTATTGTTGTAGCCAAGCAGAAATTCAGACTTATTTGATTGTCACCTTTTAAACCTGCAGCAGAATTTTTTTTTTAGAAAACCTGTAAGACATCTCCTGGGAGTTTTATCCATTTTAACCACTGCCAAACTTTAACATTAAATGAATAGAAATGGTATATGATATTCTGTCGTTATTACCTGCAAATGACCTACTTGGAAATGCTAATTTTTTGGTGTCATCCAAGTGTCTGACACATGCGGAAACCCATCACCATGCTTTCAGGCACTCACACGCCTTTCCCATCCTCACCTCAAATGCTAAATTCGAATCTAAAGTCAAGGGAATCTGCTCAGCTGTCTCTGCATCTGCTACCTCCTCCCCATCTCCCCCTCCCACCCCGGCACCTACCCATCCCTCCCTCCTCCACACCTTTGAACCTGTCTCCCTCTCCTCTCTCACCATCAGCATAACCTGTATGAAACTGACTACCTGCTCCCTCAAACCCCATCGCTAACCCCCCCTTACCTCCCAGCTGCACCTCCTTGCCCCTCTACTCACTGACATATAAACCTCTCCCTGTCTTCTGGTACTGTTCCCCAACCCCATTAAAAACCACCATCATCACTCCTATCCTTAAAAAACCTCCCTGGGCCTATCTCTATCTCTACTCCCAAACTACTGCCCCGTCTCCAACCTCCCTTTCCTCTCCAAGGTCCTGGATCCAGTTGTTGCTTCTCAACTTCGCTCCTTCCTCTCCCGCCACTCCCTTCTCGAATTCTTCCAACTGCCCACAGCACAGAAGCAGCCCTGGTCAGTGACAAATGACATTCTGTCCATCTGTGACCAGGGCTCCCTCTGCCTCCTCATCCTCAATATCTCTGCTGCCTTCGACACCGTTGACCACTCTATCCTCATCCACCGCCTCTCCTCTCACTTCAACCTTCACGGCTTTGTCCTTGACTGATTGAAATCGTACCTCTCGTACAGTTTCCATTTCATCTCCACAAACGACTTCTCCTCTAGCCCCTACACCATCTCATGCGGCATTCCTCAGGGCTCTGTCCTTGGTCCCCTCCTCTTCAATATCTATATGCTCCCTCTTGGTGACATCATTCACAGACGTGGGGTCAACTTCCACATGTATGCGGATGATACCAACTTTACCTCTCTGTCTCCACCCTTGACTCCAGGACCACTGCTGTCCTGACAGAATGTCTGTTGGACATCAAGTCCTGGATGAGAGCTAACTTTCTACAGTTGAACGTCAACAAGACTGAGGTCATTGGCTCCCGTCAGCACCTCCTCACTTCAGGCACTGACAGCACATCAACATCCATGGTTGCACGCTCCACCTTGCTAAGCCAGTCCAGAATCTTGGCATCTTGTTTGACCCTCAATTATCTTTTCTACCCCACATCCATTCCATGACCTCTCTGCCTTCCGCCACTTCCGTAACATCGCCCGGCTCCGCCACTGTCTTACACCGCAGTCCACCGAAACCCTCACACAAGCTTTCATTGCATCGACGCTCGACTATGCAAACTCATTGCTTGTCGGCCTCCCCAACTCCTCCCTCCGTTGGCTGCTGATCATCCATAACTCTGCAGCCCGTGTCCTCTCCCACACTAAGCTCCGCGACCCTATCACCCCCATCCTCACCCAACTCCACTGGCTTCCCATCACACAGAGGATACAGTTCAAGATCCTGGTCCTCACCTTCAAAGGCCTCATGGTCTTGCTAACCTCCTAACTCCCTACCTTCCTGCTCGCTCCCTCCGCTCAGTAGGCTCTGTCCTGCTTCACGTCCCCCGCCTCGCTCACCCCATTCTGCCCCCACCTTCTGGAACTCCATCCCACAATCCCGCCACCTTGCCCCCTCCCTTGCCACCTTCAAGACCCATCTCAAGACCCTCCTCTTCGACAGTGCTTCCGATCTCCCTGATTCCCCCCCCCGCCCTCCACCCTCCCCGATCCCGACCCCCAGCTCAGGTCTGAAACTCTGTCCAGCGCCTTGGAACGTCCTCCTGACATGAAAGGCACTAAACAAATGTAACTTTGTTGTTCGGACACTCTTTCAGCACTCCAAGCCTCACCATCTTCAATGCACGCCTCGTCAGTCTATCCAGCTCCACTGCTCACAAAATCCAACAGATCTAAAACTCCGCTGTCCCCAAATCCCCACCCCCATTACTCCAGTCCTTACCAGGCTCCACTGGCTCCCTGCTGCAGAATGGAGCAGATTTCAAGATCCGCACAATCACTTAGAAATCACGTCATGCCCAAGCACTTCTCTATCCTCCAACCTGCTCACATCCCATTCTTCTTCCAGCCTCCATTGCACAGAAGGCAACAGTCTTAGGGACATTCTTTGTCTGCTCTGCTCCTCCATTGGTGCCCTTCCTTTCAGTCTGTTTACATATAATTTGTTTACATTATCAACGTGTGTCGTGCTTTCAATCACTATGTCCAAAACTCTCGAACTCCCCGCCTGAACCCCTCTGCTTTACCCCCTTCTTCGCTGCCTTCAAATTGCAACGCCCTTAATAACAAATTTAACAGCAAGTGATGACAATAATAATTATCATGGAGCTAAATTTATTATGAAAGCTATTCGGGTAAGAGGACCCAAACCAGACCGATGCCGCCTACACGTGGAAATTTCCGTGTTTTGAAATGCAATGCACTCTCTCCCCAGAGGGACGCATCCTGACTCTCTAATTGCAGAGTGCAACAGGCAGGTTGGCAAGAGCCAAGGTTTGGGGCCAATCCAACAGTTTGTGTCGGGAGAACTACAAACAAACACGAACAGCCATGAAGTGAAAGAAAATAGAAGATGCACATGTACTTTTTCATATATTATATATATATATATGTATACGTATAATGTTAAAATAAAATAAAAACCACCTGACCACATTGATGGGTTTGGCCACATTTAGTGGAGCGGTCCTCAAACTCCCACTGCAAACTCTTTAAAACCAAACGCCGGGAAGACTCGAAACACGACCTGTGTGTACCCGAGAGACACCCCGAGAGAGTGGAGAGGGGGACCTGAAGCCCTGCCCGGCCCTGCCCTGCCCTGCCCGGCCCTGCCCTGCCCGGCCTGGCATGACCTCTCCGCTCTCAACCCACACAACAGCCACACACACACACACACACACACACAGAGAGAGAGGGGACTGGCGACTCCAGGCGGCGGCGGCGGCGCTTTGACCTTTGCTGGAGACAAACAGCAACAGGCGGCGGCGGCTGAGGCGCACAAGTCAGGGCCCCTCCCTCCAGCACCAACAGCCGCCCCTCGGGCTCAGCCACTCGGCTTCAGCCGCTGACCAGAGCCGCCGCCACCGCCGCCCGTACTCCTTGTTTTGCGGCCTTTAGTCTGGGTCTCTCGGGGGGGAGGGGAGGGGGGGGTGTGAGGGGTAAACTGCTCCTACCTATCCGCGTGCGCTCCCCGTTAGTTATCTGTCGACAGCTCCGTGGCCTCATACCCCCGGCTCGCGGCGCCCGCCCTCCCTCCCCGCCGCCTCTCACTGGCCGCCGCGCCGCCAGCGCCTGGTTCACACGCTCAGCCGCCCGCTTCCGGCCAGCGAGGGCGCCGCGCAGGCGCGTCAGCGCGATAGGGACACTCCGTTGCGACCTCACCGGCCGGAAGATGACACGCAAAGCGCGTGCGCCCTCTCACCCCACCCCAGCGAACAGGCGCCTGGACCGTCGCACAGTCAGTCATCGGAGAGAGAGGCCGCGCGCGTAACATGTTGTGGCAGAGCGTGGCCGAGATCTTCCTCTTCGTGAAAGGACTCGGCGAAGCAGATAAGATACAGTGTCTGTGCACCAGAGCTTTTGTAGAGTAAGTCTCTCGTTTTGTCTTCTTGCTCGTGTCACAGTGTTAGACGTCTATCAGGGGAGGAGGAGGGGGAGGTCCAGCAGACTGCCCTGCTCCTGGGATGTGTGATTTGATGCAACTGGAGCTTAACCACCTGAAGCCTTGTGGCTTCCCTTTGACCACAACCTTCTCGCTGCTTGTCCAGCTCGGACCTCCCTGTTACAGTTTTGCTTCGCAGGGTTAACTGGAGTTGATTGGGGAAGAATCCCAGCCTCCCGGTGACTGGTTTAAATAATAATAATAAATGGTCCTCGCATTTGATATAACAATCCTCGCATTTGATATAGCGCTTTTCACGTCGGGAGGACGTCCCAAAGCGCTTCACTGAAGACACTGTAAAGTGAATTGACTGTATATTTGTGGGCGAACGCGGCAGCCAATTGCGCACAGCAATGTCCCACAAACAGTCGTAGATTGAAAATGACCAATTTATTGTTTTTGGTTTTGGAGGGATTATTATTAGGCTCTGTGTGGAGTAAGGAAACTTGTCCAAGGTTTCGCCCTGACCTGCCTGGAATTGAACCCAGGTGTCTCGCTTGCAAAGCGAGTGCTCTAACCATTGAGCTACAGGACTCCACGGTTTGCCCGTTCAGTACCTGCCAGTGAGCCACCCAGACTGGCTGGCCTTTCATCTGCTGGAGTACTGAAGATGTGATTCTGATATTCTGTTCTCAGGCCTGCCTGCCAGTTCAATGACAATGTGGACCAGTTTCGCCCACAAAAATACACAAGTCAATTCTCGTTACAGTGTGTTCTGTGAAGCGCTTTGAGACATCTCGAAGATGTGATAAAGCACTGTATCAAATGCAAGGATTATTAGTGTTTTTTATTAATGAAAGTAATAATAGTCCTTGCATTTGTCAGCACACATCAGGAGGATGCCACAAAGTGTATTGCAGGCTATACTGTAAAGTATAGTAACTGTATTTTGTGTACAATAGAGTGTGACAACCATGAATATTATCTGTGCGCAATTGGCTGCTGCGTTCCTCCCACAAAATATACAGTCAATTCACTTTACAATATATTCAGTGAAGTGTTTTGAAACATCTTAAAGATGTGATAACGTGCTTTATCAAAAATGCAAGGATTATATGGGGAATTATTGAACAGGAGCAACTCCCTTCACTTTTCAAATAAGATCTTATCTTTAACGTCTACCTGAACAAGCAGACAAATCCTTGGTTTAATGACTCTACCATAGGATGAGTTGATTTATGATTGATTTTTCTCACTTGTTTGCTCCTGCCCCAGTTTTCTAGCACCATGTAACTTCACAATGCAGTAGGATAGGCTAAAGACCTGTTCCCAGGACTCTGCTGTGTAGACCTATTAGCGCTGTGCGGCACATTAATTATACATTATAATTATTAATTATATATATGGATCAATACTACATGTTGATATGTAAGAATAATCTGTCATGTATGATAGAATATTCGAATGATCAATTTTGATTTGATCAAAAAATACTGGCATGGTTGCAATGGCAGACGGCAGGTGTTTAATTTTTCTTGCATTGGAAGATTGCCCAAAGTTAAGGTTTTGTGCCACGGGTTGTTTTCCATTCTTGCTATCAGCAGATGGATGGGTCTATTGGTTTCATGATATATTTATCCATTGTTTAATTGAGCAGCAATTCTTATCCATATGTACAAAATCAAAAATTACATTAAACAAGAACAGCAAAGTTATTCTGCTCTTGAGCACTCTTCACAATTAAATTGCCTGTCTGCTTATAACTATCCAATGAGAATCTCTGTTACTTGAAGTGTTTATTAGGAGGGCATTTAGGATCTTTTGTTCACCTGCCAATCTCAACCATAACTATAAACAAGGTGAGTTCCATTGGGAAGGGTGTTTTTTTTGCAGTAATTTAAAATTACACTAAAAAGTTTCTATAGCGCTTCTTGATTTCAAGGCTTTCTCCCCAGGGTGTCCCTTATTAAAGAGAAAAGCAGAAGCTGCCAACACTTGATACCTCTATCTGGTGGAACCACTGTTCATTTGGTATAGGTGTGTATCTGGGATGAAATAAAAAAGCGCTATAGAAACTTTTTAATGAAATTTTAAATTGTGGAGTCCTGTAAATTAGTGGTCAGAGCACTCACCCCACATGTGAGAGGACCTGGGTTCGATTCCCGGGCAGGGCGAAACATTGGGTAAGCCTTCTTTCTCCATGACCCTCTGTTTACCTAGCAGCAAGTAGGAACCCGGTTGTTAGTCGATTGGTGGATAGCTTTTCCGAGGGTAATAATCCCATTAAAAAAAATTAATAATAATTTGGTCATTCAATCCATGACTATTCGTGGGATACTGCTGTGTGCAATTGGCTGCTGTGTTTCGCTCAACAATATGCAGTCAATTCATTTTACAGTATATTCTGTGAAGTGCTTTGAGATGTCTCAAAGACGTGATTATGCGATATGTCAAATGCAAGGATTATTATTATTATTAGTCAGTGGTTTATGCTGAGTTTGCTGATCACCAGACCAGACTCTGGGAACTGAGTCTCTTCCAATTTGGTTCCTCCTAACCCTGCAAGTCAAAATCCTAACAGGTAGGATGGTGCTTGCTGGACAAGAAATTTGCTACTGTTTACTATGACAACCTATGTGGTTCAACTGATTAAACTCCAGCAATATCCCCAATGCACCTTCTGGACTTCCTAAGCATTGGGTCTTGCAAATGAGCCTAAACCTTCTTGGATTAGGTAAGCAGTTGGTGTCATTATAGGGAGAATGAGCACTCAGTACTGGACAAATTGAAATTGCTATGCTTACAGTGGAATCTTGTTATAACATGGCAGTTGGGGGGTCCATAAATCCCAAGCCGCATTATAATGAACGACTAACACCAGTTAGTGCTTGTGGGATTCACTAAATGTGTGCAGAAAGTTTCCAGTCAGTGCTCAGTGCTTTTAAAAAAAAAGCCAACATTCAGATTGTTGCCGACATAATTTCCTGTGCACTGTGACGTTGAAGGCAGGGTGATTATCTGGAAGTCGGGCATTGTTTTAGTGAGCAACAGCAAGAACTCACATTTATGTATTACCTTTCTCTGGGGTAACATTTCAGAGCATGGCAGAGCTGAGCCGGGGAGAGAGAGGAGGTGAACATAGCTATGGTCAAAGAAGAACGGCTCTGCGTTGTGCTCCGCCATTGTCAAGTGCTCTAGGACGCTGGCCTGCGTGAGGGGGCGCAATATAAATGCAAGTTGTTGTTGTTGCCTTCAGGTACAATTTGAAGACCAGCAAGTAAGGGGCAAGGCAGAGGGAATTCAGCCAAGAAGCCAACCGGCATTTTGTAGCAAGAAAAATAATTGATTTCAAGCATGCTGCCCGACTTCCCGCATACATTTCAGAGGTTTTGTTAAATAAGTCGGGATTCACATCTCAAACGTGCGATAAGTAATCCTAGGTTCAAACAAAGTGCTTCATAGCGGGCTTTTACTGTACTGGAACCCTTACGGTTTTGTTGATTAGCTGCATGACTAACACTCGAGTTTCCGAGTGTCAGTCATACAGCTGACCAACAAAACCTATTGTAGCAGGATTTGGTGTAATAGTATTAACTGTCCATCATTGAAGATGAACAACATGAACTTTGATATACAATTAGTTGGATACATGCTGAAACAATCATTGCATCTCAAACATCTGTGTGCATTGTGTAAAAATAAAATTGTCTCCTCTTGAAATTATTGCAGTGACCGGGATTTTTACCGTCAAGGATTGAAAGGAATAACCTATGATGAAGACGACGATGAAGGAGGTACAATATTTGGTTGTTTGGTTGAAAGTTGAAGCAGTGTTATTTTTCTAAGTTATTTAAGTTAGGAACTTTTTAATTCATCTTTCCCATGCACACTGCATAAGCACATCAATACTTTGTCCTCCTTATATATGTATTATGCAGATGTAAAAGGTGTGAGCAGCTTATCCAGTGAATATGTCTCATGATGCAAGAATGCACTTACATTGCAAAATGTGTGTTCTTTTCGTATCAGCGGAAGATTGAGTTCTACTCTGTGATTGTGTATTTTGTGTGTGAATTATGTAAGTGGATATTTGTAAAGTACTTGGCTAGGTTAATTGAATGACCCCATGTATTAGGCCCTTGACATGTTGTGCCTTAGAACGAATATACCCTTTTGGCTTGGCTGGGATTGCTCTCCTTTGGATCAAAACATTATGAAAAGCATCACATGATTACTTGAATTAAATCTAAACTGCTATTACAGTGCAATACTAAAGAAGCACTGCATTGTTGTAGGTGCCGTCGTTCAGAAAATATATTAAACTAAGGTTCTGTCTGTTCTAAAACAACAACAAAATTACATTTGTATAGCTAGTGCCTTTCACGTTGGGAGGACGTCCCAAGGTGCTGGACAATTAGTGTTTTGGACCTGAGCTAGGGATCAGGGCGTGTGGAAGGTGAGACAGTGGCAGAGCCAGGCGATGTTGCAGAGGTGGAGGGAAAGCAGAGCGGGTCATGGCATGGATGTGGGGTAGAAAAGATTTTTGAAGGTCAAACAAGATGCCAAAATTCCAGACTGGCTCGGTGTGGTGGAGTGTGCATCCTTGGATGGTGATGCTGTTAGCGTCTGAGGTGTGGAAACACTGAAGAGAGCCAATCAGGAGAGCCTAAGTCTTGTTGACGTTCAACTGTAGAAAGTTAGCTCTCATCCAGGACTTGATGTCTGACAGACACACTTTCAGGACAGCCGTGGTCCTGGAGTCGAGGAAGGAGGCAGAGAAATAGAGTTGGGTGTCATCCGCATACATGTGGAAGTTGACCCCGTATCCACAGATGATGTCACCAAGAGGGAGCATATAGATGTTGAAGAGGAGGGGACCAAGGACGGAGCCTTGAAGAATGCTGCAGGAGATGATGTGGGGGCTAGAGGAGAAACCGGTTGTGGAGACGAAGTGGAGATGGTGTGAGAGGTAGAATCTGAATCATTCAAGGGCAGAACCATGAAGGTTGAGGTGAGAGGAGAGGCAGTGGAGGAGGATAGAATGGTCAATGGTAGGGAAGGCAACAGAGAGGTCAAGGAGGACAAGGATGCAGAGGGAGACCTGGTTGCAGATGGAAAAAATGTCATTTGTCACTTTGACCAAAGCTGTTTCTGTCCTTGGGCGGAATAGAAACCTGATTGGAGGGGTTCATGAAAGGAATGGTGGGAGAGGAAGGAGCGAAACCGGGAAGCAATGACTCGTTCAAGGAGAACAATGACAACAAATTACATTTGTATAGTGCCTTTCAGGTCAAGAGAACCTTGGAAAGAGAATGGGAGGTTAGAGATGGGATAGTAATTTGAGAGCGGGGATGTGCCCAGAGGGTTTTTTAAGGATAGGAATAATGACGTTCATTTTTAAAGGGTGGGGAATGGTGCCAGTGGACAGGGAGAAGTTTATGATGTCTGTGAGTAGAGGGGCAAGGAGGTGGAGCTGGGAGGTAAGGAGAGGGGTAGGGATAGGGTCGAGGGAGCAGGTGTTCAGTTTCATGAGGGTTATAGTGGTGATGAGAGAGGAGGGGGCGACAGGTTCGACGGTATGGAGGGAGGGATGGGTAGGGGCCGGGGTGTGAGGGGGAGATGCGGAGGGGATAATAGATGGAAGGGCAGAGGCAGCTGAGCAGATCCCCTTGACTTTAGTTTCGAGGAAGTCCAGCATCACCTCGCAGTTGGCAGAGGAGAGAATGGGCGAGGCGTGAGAAGGTGGGCGGAGGAGCCAGTTGGTGATGGAGAAAAGAAGCCTGGAGTTGTCCTAACCTCCAAGATTTTCTTGGAGTAGGAGGACGATTTAGCGGAGGCGAGGGCGGAGCAATAAGTTTTGATAAGGTCCAGCCAGATCTGCCGGTGGACTGTTAAATTAGATTTGAGCCAGGTGCGTTCAGCGACACACACCTGTGCCTTGAGGGAGTGGAGGTGACTGGTGTACCAGGGTGACTTCCATAAGTAGAAGGCGGTTCGGTGAGTGAGGGGAGCAAGGGCATTGAGAGTGCCGAAGAGGGAGCTGTGGAGGAGAATGACAGGAGGATAGGTCATTGCGGGAGGAAGCCCAGAGCAGGAGGAGTTCAGATGACTCCCAAGGCAGTGGAGAGGCAGGGGGGGATTTTTTTCCAGGGCGGGAGGAGATGGAGGTGGGTTGGGTGGCGGTGGGAGAGGGATTGAGGAATTAAGGGAGATGAAGTAATGGTCCAAGATAGCTTTGTTGGTGATGGTGAGGTTCGAGGCGGTGAGGCCCCCGGGTTGAGTGCGTGACCACAGTTGTGGGTGGCGGAGTGGTTGTAGAGGTAGAGGTTGAGAGAGGAGGGAGGAGAAGTCAGCAAAGGTAGAGCAGGAAGGGGTGAAGTGAAGGTTGAAGTTGCTTAGGATGGGGAGGTGTTTGGAGCAGAGAGAGGGGGAAGGTAGGATGGTGGTGATGCGGAGGAGGGCTTGGGGATGCAAAAGATAAGGAGAATTTTGAGGGAAAGGTTGGAGGGATGATAAATGGTAAGGCGCTCAAAGGAGGGGAAGATTCCAGAGGAGTAAGGGGATAGGCCGAGTGGGGACCGGGAGATGAGAGCCACACCGCCACCAGGTCAGTTAGGTTGTGGGGTATGATGGAAGGTGTAGCTGGGTGGTATGGCCTCTGTCAGGGGGAAGGTGTCACCCGGAGTGACCCAGGTTTCGGTGAGGGCGAGAATGTCTATATTTTCATCGATAATGAGGTCTGGATGGTGAGTGTTTTATTGGAGCGGGAGCTGATATTTTGTAGGCCGATGCGGAGGGGACAGTTGGTGGCAGAATGTGGGGGGGGGAGGATTGACAGGGAGGGTGGGGATGTGGATGAGAGAGGAGAGATTGGCCCCCGGGGTCACTGAGTGATGTGGCCTTGTGACAAGAATGGGGAAATAGGGCAGCCGGAGTGGCTGCTGTTGGACAGCCAGCGCTGCATGCCACGGCGGGCCCGACGAAGGATTCGCAGGCTGGAGCAGAGGGAGGCTGTGGGACAGCCGAGCAGGGATAGGAGTCGGGGAGGGTGGTGGGAGAGAAGGAACGATCAGGAGTAGTGGAGGGTACAGAACAGGGATGGAAACATTTTGAGGAAGCAGCTTGGGTCAGTAGTGGCAGCCAAAATGCACACGCCAAGACTAAGAGCGAACGGAGGGGTGGGGTGGGGGTCTATGGTCAGCATGGCATGGTTAGCCCACCCACTGGCATGGATCATCATGGGGAGGCGGGCACAATGTTATAGTCTCAGTGAGTCTAGGCTCAGAAATTCAAAGGTGGTGGGCGGATGTGATGTCACCCGGCAGCCAATTTCTGGATGGATGTTGACTCGGAGAGTCAGCAATGGCACTTTGGACCAGCCGAGGTGACGAATCCCACGCTGGCTTCTCACTTCAAATTATCTCATTTTGACGATACTACATCAAATGCAAGTAGCATTGTGAACTGTTGGGTGTGTATTCACCTCTAATTCTGCATATGTAGATGTACTGTTCTCAGTCACGTGGTAATGAAAGCGCTCTGGGACTTTACCCCGTTTGAAGGGCGCTAAATAAATGCAACTTGTTGTTGTTGTTGTCGTCAGGGCTCCATGAGTGTAAGGTCCCTTTGAACCTTTCATCTCCTGGTGAGAAAGTAGAGTTGGGTGGCATCTTGCCAGTGAATAGTGTTTCAAGCGACAATCAAAGGGGAAGGAGAGAAAATACCTTAAAAACAAGATGATAATTTCAAAAGGAAAGTTAATAACTGCCTGATATAAATTATAAAACAGCAACTTGAATACAACAGTTATGGTGCCAAAAAGATGACAGCTTTGATCCAGAACCAGAAGATTGAGTAACTGCCTTAAAGTTCTTGCCAGATATTTGTTCCTTCTGATGTTGTTCTATTATTTTAGAACAAAGTTAACTTTTTTTAAATCCCAACCGTTGCGTGGTGGGACATATGTATAGAAGACATGGTATTGCCAAAATGGCCAACTGTAAGGCAAACATCATCGGGATGCTATGGTTACAGAGCATAATTTTTTTTTTGTTGTTCAGCATGTAATGCTCTGGCTTGGCTTGCAGCGCTGCTGTTGATTTTCATCCCTGACCAAGTGCAAAACTCAGCTGTAGGGTGGTCCATCAAGCACTGAGTGGAGGGGGAAGAGTAGAGACACTACATCTTACGGCATCTGATAGTTGTGTTTGATTGAACTTTTTCTATTGGTGAAAATAGTGTAGAATTTTGTCTTCTCACTTCATGGAGGTATTTATTTCAGAACATCTCTTAAGATGCTGTCATCTGTCTGTGTCTGGTTTACATACTTCTGGAGGTGGGAAGAAGATATGGGGTTCAATTGTTAACTTGGGATTGTCCTAAACTGATAAAATTACGTAAGATTGCAATGAGAATTAGGTCACTTTAAAGGTCAAGAGTTGAAAATAAATAATCCTTGCCTTTGGTATACAATGTAATATTATATTTGTATGGAGTCTTTCACGTGAGGAGGACATCCCAAGACACAGGACAGTCAGGGATTTGGACTCGAGCAAGGTGGGGGAGGGGTGGGGTTGGGATCAGGGAGTGGGAGGGCAGAGGGGTAGGAGGGTGGCTGAAGGTATGGTTAAAGAGGAGGGTCTTGCGTCGTGCCTTGAAGGACCAATGGTTGGGCGGGCAGGCAGACGGGGCTTCAGGTTAACATCTTAACTGAAGTACGGCACCTCCAATGATGCAGCACCCAGCACTGTAGTAGTGTCAGCCTCCACTATAAAGGTCCGATTTGGGGTTTGAATCCACAACCTTCTGCAGTTTGCTTGTGCAATAATGTTCTTTTACTATAAGTGGCATTGATGAGTTAGATTATTGCTAACCTTCCCTTCTTTGGTAGATTTTCACTGCTGTAGTAATACTATTTGGTGTTGTATGTATTTTCTTTAAATCTGTTGTTCTTATACATTTTTCATAATAATCCTTGCATTTGATATAGCGCCTTTCATATCAGGAGGTGAAGCGCTTCACAGGATTTCCTGGAAAATGTAGTCACTGTATTTTATAGGCAAACCAAACTCCTACTGCAGAGTTTGTAATTTTGGAAGTGTATAATGAGAATTGAGAAAACTCAAAAAGGTTGGGTAATTTTATTGGAAAGAAAGAACGTGTTTATTGTTCCATAACCACATCAACATATTCCAAAGCACTTTACAGGTATTTGATATCAAGTGTAGGCAAACAATAAAGTAATTTGTGCCAAGATTGTTGCCCAAGACACTGGCAAAAACCCCCTTCATTTTGAGGAGTGCCATAAAATCTTTTTTATGTTCACCTGAACATTCAGATGGTATCTCATCTAAACTACTTCTGTCAGCCATGAGAGTTCAAGGTCTAATAGGGGGCTTGAGCCCACATGTTTCTGACCCAGAAGCAAGAATGTTACCAACTGAGCCAAGCCTACACCAGCGTAGAATTGTGGGACACTGCTGTGCACAATTGGCTGTCACGTTTCGCCCACAAAATATACAATCAATTCACTTTACAGTGTATTCTGCGAAGGGCTTTGAGGCGTCGCAACAACGGGATAAGGCACTATATCAAATGCAAGGATTCTTATATTATTTTTTAAAATTATGATTGCTGATTGTTCTTTATAGATGTACAAAAGGAAGAAGGAAAGAGTGACGAAGACTCAAATTCCAATGCTGAATCCACTCTTAATGCTATGGAGATGCAGGAAGAAAGTGAAATGGATTCTGAGGCTGAGCTAATGGCAAGTATGGGATTGCCCCTCCAATTTGGAAGGTCAACCCATCGGAAGCCAGTGGTAAGACACATTTTAGAATTTAGACCCTATGAGGGAATTTTAGTATATATATATATATGTTAAAAAGGCACATTTTGAATTCACAAATTTAATATAGAATTTTGTGATGAAGTGCAATACTGTGCAAAATGTAATCCAAAAAGTGAGAGGTCACCAATTTGTTTGGGGAAAGGTGGGCTCATTTGCCTGAGGGTGAACATGCTCTGATGTTATTGTCATCAGTTATCATCCAGATAGTTTACTGTAGATTCTAAGACAATACCTCACTATTTTCTTTTTCAAAAGTGCGTCTAACAAGTTACCTTTCAAAAGGTGTTTTACAAGTCAATTAAACAGATGTAGAAAGTTAGGAAAAACTAAACGCTACAGCTGGCAAGATACAGGATTCTTCTGATGAAATTAGGCTAAAATTGCTTGTCGAATAGTTAAACATTATAAAACCAACCTACATCACCAATAACTACACAAATATGCAATATTCCTGCTGCAGATTGAGTGATAAACATTATTTTACCCTGCCTGCCCTTGTATGCAAAAATAAGAACTCTATGACTCTCCTTCATTAAGTGAATATTTGTTCATTTTCATTTTTTTGCAAGATAACCAGCTCTTCAAAGAAAAAAATGAAAAAGAAAACAACAACTTACTGGTGTTCAGAAGAGGTTCTCGGCGTGTGTAAGGAAAGTCCAGGGGAAACACTTAATGTTCTCCCAGATGTCCCTGACGTGAGGTTGGCTCAAGAAGAAACTGGCATTGATGCAGAGTGCAGACTCGTTAATATTGAAGAAGGCAAACTAAAAAATAATGAGTCTTGTAGCCGTTCCTCTGAAGGAGAACCAATATTGCAGGTACAACAAACAGCAGATTGGGAAAAATATTGGAATCAATATGGTGAGGGGCTTGTGTGGCAAAGCTGGTTGGACCAATATCCTGATGGGATAGAAGGTACATCTGTGCCTTGGGATTGTCCCAACACTAAAGATCAATGGCAACAGCATTATAGTGAACAGTACTGGATCTATCATGAGCAGTTTCAATACTGGGTTTCTCAAGGCTGGTCTGTAGACTGCAACAATGCTACATGCAGTGACCTAGGCATGGATGTGTCTTGTGCAAATGCACATGAATCAGAAGAGCTCCTCGGTGAACCTGAAAACTCTGCTGATGGAAACTTCACCGAACCAACGATGGATCTGGGCTTTCCATCAAATGCAGAAAGTGCAGTTGAAAACAGCGAAGAAAATATTGGTGGGGAAATTGTCAGTCTGATCAGTAACATAAGACTCAATTCAGGAAATGTCGACAATCCTTCAATGGGTACACAGTGCAGTGCCTACCAGAGTCCTGCAGATATTGCAAGTTCTGGTGTATGTGTTTCTGATCAGACCGAGCCCTGTGACGGAGGTACCAGTAAAAGATGTGCGTCTGGTGGAGGAACTTCCACAGTCCAGTCAGGTTAGTGTTGTAAACATTTCCTCAAAATGCCTCCAGTGGTGTCATTGATTTAGAAGCAGATTTGTGAACGAGCCCATATGGGTACGTTTGGATGGATTTAATAAATTGTGTAATTAAAGAGGTAAATTGTTCATAGCTGGGGAAGAAACAGATTTGTGGGTTGAGTGGCATTTTTCTGATCCCTTATTTTCTAATGTTTGGAGAACGACAGGTTATCAAGTTGATATGTGCTTATTTTACTTGCAGCCCCACATCAAGTTCCAAGTGAAGCTTCAAGGAATAATGGTGCACCAAGAATCAGTCAGAGCCATAAAGATGAGGAAGGTGGTGATCCACCAGAATCTAGAGCAGTGAAGTTCAAGCGAAGGTAAACATATCAAGATCTTATTTAATCTGGTTTGTTCTACAGTAGAGATCTTATTAACTACATTAATTGGGATTGGGCTCAATGTGAATAAGAATACAGTGTGGATAATTGGACATCAGGCAAAACACAACTTGGCTAAGGTGCTAACTAAAAATTATTACATTAGGAGATATACTGGTACTGTCACTTGTATCACACTGTGTCAGCCTTCTCTCTCTTTCTCTACCACACAAACTCTGCCTCTCTCTTACCACTCTTACCTCTTATTCCCCAGTGTGTGTGTGTGGGTCTGTCTGTCTTTCTGTCTCTGTGTGTCACTCTTTCGCCCTCTACTCTGTCTAAAAGTACTGTAAATCTAAAAATTGGCATCGCTACGGCAAAACAAAACGGTTTGTGTATATGTTCACGTTGCACTCAAAAGTTGTGTAAGTGAAAAGGTAGTGGGGTACATGGAACTATGTTTGGTTTGGATGCACTGAAGCATTGGGGTGGGTTTCTGCATGTGTCAGGCATCCAACTAACCAAAAACCAGTGGTAATGGAAAGTTATTGAAAGAGGGTGAAGAGAGTGGAGTCCTGCATCTCAGTGGTTAGAGCACTCGCTTTGCAAGGGAGAGTTCTGGGTTCGATCCCCGGCAGAGTGAAACCTTGGGCAAGTTTCCTTACTCCATACACCTGATAATAATCCCTCAAGAAAAAAAAATTGGTCATTTCAATCCACAACTGTTTGTGGGACACTGCTGTGCGCAATTGGCTGCCTCATTTCGCCCATAAATATACAGTCAATTCATTTTACAGTCTTCTGTGAAGCGCTTTGAGACATCTAGAAGACGTGAAAAGCGCTATATCAAATGCAAGGATTATTATTATTAATTAGTATGGTCATTAATATACTTGACTCACAGAATCATAGAATCGTACAGCACAAAACTAGGCCATTCGACCCATCGAGTTTGTGCCGGCTCTTTGAAAAGAGCAATGTAATGTCAATCCCACTCCCCAGCCCTTTCCCCATAACCCTGCAAACCCGTCCTCCTCAAATACCCATCCACCGCGTTTTTCAAAGTTGTTATCGAATCGGCCTCCACCACCCTTTCAGGCAATGCGTTCCAGATTCGAACAACTCTCTGCGTGAAAAAATTTCTTCTCACCTCCCCTCTGCTTCTTTTAGAGACTATTTTAAATCTGTGACCTCGAGTCACCTACACACCCACCAGTGGAAACAGTTTTTCCCTTTCTAACCTATCAAATCCTTTCATGATTTTGAAAACCTCTATTAGGTCTCCTCGTTACCTTCTCTGCTCCAATGAGAATAATCCCAGCCTCTCTAGCCTTTCCTCATAATCAAGGTCCCTCATTCCTGGTACCATTCTTGTAAATCTCCTCTGCACCGTTTCCAATGCCTTAACATCCTTCCTGTAGTGTGGTGCCCAGTACTGGGCGCAGTATTCTAACTGAGGCCTAACCAGTGTTTTATATAGGTTAACCATAACCTCCTGACTCTTGTACTCTATGCCCCTATTTATGAAGCCTAGTTTCCCATATTCCCATTTTACAGCTTTATCTACCTGTCCTGCCACCTTCAAGGATTCATTTACCTGCACCCCCAGGTCTCTCTGTTCTTTTACCCCCCTTAAGATTGTATTACATAGCCTATATTGCCTTTCTACCAAAATGCATTACCTCGCATTTCTCCACATTGAAATTCATCTGGCATGTGTCTGCCCATTTTACCATTCTGTCTATGTCTTCCTGCAGTTGGCTACTATCCTTCTCATTGTTTACTACCCTACCTAACTTTGTGTCGTCCGCAAACTTGGAAATGGTACTTGCTATACCCAAGTCCAGATCATTTATGTATATTAAGAAGAGCAGTGGTCCTAACACCGATCCCTGGCGAACGCCACTGTACACTTCCCTCCAGTCAGAAAAGCAGCCGTTCACCACAACTCTCTGCTTTCTGTCTCTCAGACAGTTCTGGATCCATGCTGCCACTGTTCCTTTTATACCATGGGCTTCTATCTTGATTGAAAAATTGTAGCCAAAGCCTCCGCTATTTGTACCCTTGCCTCCCATAGTGCACTTGGCTGCATCCCGTCCGGACTGGGCGACTTATCTACCTTCAGCCCAGTCAACCTTTTCAGTACTTCCTTTCTGTTTATACTTATCCTATCCATTTCCTCTACCTTTTCCTCCGATACTGCGACATTTGGTGCATCCACTTCTTTTGTGAAGACAGATGCAAAGTACTCATTCAGTACATCAGCCATGCCCTCTGCCTCCACAATAAGATTTCCGGCTTGGTCCTTAATTGGCCCCACCCTACCTTTGACTAACCTTTTTTTCTTGATATGTTTGTAAAATATTTTAGAATTCCCTTTAATGTTACCTGCTAATCTTTTTTCGTATAATCTTTTTGCCCCTCTTATTTCCTTTTTCAGTTCTCTTCTGCACTTCCTATATTCTATCTGGTTGTCTTCGGTATCTTGGGTTTGACATTTGTCATACGCCTCCTTTTTCTGCTTCATTCTAGATACAATTACCTTCGTCAACCAGGGAGGTTTGGATGCCTTACTTTTCCCTTTTGTGGGATTGTATTTATTTTGTCCCGAGCTATCTCATTCTTGAAGATTTCCCACTGCTGTTTAGTTGTTTTACCACCAATTTTTCTTTCCAGTCCACCTTGGCTAGATCCCATTTTAACTCACTGAAATTTTCCCTCTTCCAGTTGAGTATCTTCACCCTAGATGGTTCCTTGTCCCTTTCCATATGCACCCTGAATCTAATGATGTGATCAACTATTAAAGGTGCTGTATCAAATGCAAATATTTTTATTAAATGCCTTTTTGTTCCAGATAAATACCTGTGTTTTTTTTGGTGAAAGGCAATTGGTGAGAAACAATTTTCACCCAAATGAATTTTAATTTTTAAAACCCAACTGTACCTGTTTTGTACCCCCAGAGTTTATGTTGGTGAGTGCATAGCCTGAAACTGGCCTTGCTTCAATGTCAGTTCCGGAATTGGGCTCATAATGTGATTTGTCTGCAAAAATCTGCATGCAATGCTGGAACACGCTTACCTGCATGTGCATTGTATTGCTTGTGAATTCCCCAAACGAGCATTGCATTGAGGCAGGTTTCAAGAGGGATTTTCGAAAATAAATCCTGAATTTCCTATTTTTTTTGTCTCAAATCCCCCCCCCCCACACCCCCGATTTTATTCTGTATTTTGACAGAACAAAATAAACCTGAAAAAAAATTACCCAGGTTTTTATTAGGCTTGATTTGGAGGATCCACGTATTCTGATCTTACACAGCCTTTAGCTCATGAAACCAAAATTAGTTTATTCAAGAGGTCAGCAATATAAAGCTCATAACATATCCTCAGAACTCTGTGAATTAAAAATAAAAAANTCTTAGAAATAAAAAAATCTTAGAAATAAAGAATCTTGTGTCAGATGTCCCAAGCTTGAAGAGGTTTAAAGTTCAGTTGTTCCTTGGGAATGCTGCCTGTGGAAACGAAAGCTGCCACTGAGGGAAAAAAAACATGATAAAATATGTTGTTACGGTCTAAAAGTTCCTCTTTGATTTTTGAATGGAAGACTGATTTTTAATTAAGGTTACTTAGGAGAAATTTGCTATGAAATCTTAAAGTGATTACAAAGAATGAGAACACAATTAACCCTGGAACCATTTTTGGCGCTGTTTAAAACCAGTATTATTTATGTTCAGGCATTAATCCTTTGATAAAATAATACTGGCTCGAAACAAGCATCATTGAGACATGATCACACATTAGAGTACATGATTTTAAAAGCTCACGATTTCCCTCATTTAATGAAAATGTAGCTAACTTTACAAGCAAAATAGCTGCCCATCATTTTTTTAAAAAAAAAGGCTTCGACTATATTTTTAAAGATAATGTGGACAGCCAGAATCTCAAAACAGAATAGTAAGTCTGTATGATCGCAATCAGATGGATTAGATTCACTGTCTCCAGGCAGAATTAGCTTTTCCAATCCCTAATACTTTATATTAACAACTAGGCTAATTTGCCTCCTTTCAATATCTTTGCAATGCCAGTGATAAACTGGACAAAAATATTTTAAAGAGCACCAAAAATTGTTCCAGGGTTAATTGTGCTCTTATTCTTTGTAATCGCTTTAAGATTTCATAGTAACTTTCTCCTAAGTAACCTTAATCAAAAATCAGTCTTTCCATTCAAATGTATGGGGGAAGCTGTGCGTTGTAAACTAGTGTTCTCTGGAAATTGTCATGTTGTAGGTTGGATTCTCTGCCTTTCAACCATTTATAGCGCTCTGGGAAATGACCCTGTGTGAAGGGTGCAGTATAACTGCAAGATGTTTTCATATCTTGCAGTTAAAAGCTCATGATTTCCCTCATTTAATAAAAATGTGGTTAACTTGGTAAAAATGTGGTTACAAGCAAAATAGCTGCCCATTATTGTTTTTAAAAAAAGCCTTTGACTACATTTTTAAAGGTAAGGTAGGCAGCCAGAATCTCAAAGCAGAAAATAGTAAGTCTTTATGATCTTAATCAGATGGGTTAGATTCATTGTCTCCAGGCAGGTCGTGGACCCGAAACGTTGACTTACTTTCCTTTTTCCATAGATGCTGCCTGATCTGCTGATTGTTCCCAGCGACTTCTGTTTTTGTTTCAGACTTCCAGCATCTGGGGTATTTTGCAAGATGTTTTCTCATATATCTATTTCTATATCCATTTTATTACAGTCATGAATTAGATGCTGAGGAGAATCCAACAGTGTCAGTGGAAGATGCCTGTTCATTATTGGGATTCAAACACCATGCAGGTGAAAGGTAAGGTTTTTCTATGAGTCTGACAATGCCCACTTCTGCAGTGAGAAGCAATGGACACCCACTTGCAAGTTGCTACTTTAGGCACATTACAAAAGGAATGAGATGGGAAGGCAAACCATGTTTGCTCCTGGTATTGCTTCCTGCAAATTGCACGCATTCGTGCCAGATTCCTGTAGTAAAAGGATAGCCAACGTCAGCAGTGTTTCCTGTACATACTGTACATGCACAATGTGTAGGAAGTGACCTTAGTGGTGCTTCTTGCACACTGCATAAGAAGGGATGGTGGTTGCGGTGACCTGGACATCAACCATTTTTGTGCACACAGGAAGCTGGCTGATACACAGTACACCCAAAATAAGCAAATCCACTTTACAACAGGGTTGCCGAATAGCACTATTGAACTGCTCTGACAACATTGTAAAGTTTGCTTATAACTGGTTAAATATTCTAATTTGAGGTTTGTTACTGCTCTTTGTCTTTATTAAAATTATTAATCCAACAAATCCACTCTTGGACACACACATTTGACCTGAACACAGCTGCAGGAAAGATTCTGTGTTGCGTTCACTAGTGGTTTTAGCTTGTTAAAGTTTTTTTCTCTTGGAGAAAATATAACTCAAACATGCCTTTTTTAAAAATATTTCAGGTGCAAATCTTCGAATTTTAGTCATGGACATGCACGGTATTATAAGAAGGACAGACAACTGAAGTTCAAACAACTTGACATGCATCGACCAGCAAATGCCAAAAATAAGCATATATTTTTTACTGAAGAAGGAGAAGTTTTGGGCTCCAAGAAGAATAAAACTATAATAAAGGTAATAGAAATTATACAAGTGGGGTTTCAGTGGCCTTTCCCTCATGCCAGCAGGTCCAAATTCAGTGTAAGCTAATGGGATAAATTCTTAATATTATTATTATTATTAAATGTGTCCTCTCTCTGTAAGATTACTATAGGCATAGAGTCTGGCCAGTCTCATCCACCTTGTGGAATGCACAGACCCCCATAGCACAACCCTTATTAAATTACACAATAATAATGTACTCAGCAATTGTGGCAGGATAATACATACCAACCCTGTTATAACATAGTGAGGTTGAGGATTTAAGCATAGCCTCAGTACAACCTCACCATTAAATCCCTCTATGATCATGCCCCACTCTAACTCTCAGGCTTCTCAAGCCTTACAAGTACCCCCGCTCCTGCTTGGGAGGCAGGCGTCTCCTTCATGTCCTCTGCCCTACTTGCCCCACCGTCGGCAGTCAGGCTTCATCTGATCCCACTCTCTTGGAACTTCATTCCCAACTCCATCCAACAGGAGTTTAGGACAAACGTATTTAGGCAGGGTGGTGAGAATGTAGAACTCACAGCCGGTTCCCTTCATGCCCTTGCACCTTCCTACCTCTCTGACCTACTTACCCCCACAAACCACACCCCGCTGCCTCCCCTCGACTGGCTCTGGCCTCTGCATGTCCCTTGTGCCCTCTATTCCACCATCAGTGGTTGCGCTTTCAGCTGCTATACCTAAAACTGGAACGTGCTTCCTCTATCCCTCCGTCTTGCCCCATTATTCCGCATGTCAGTTCACGCCTGAAGACCTTCCTATTTGACTCTGCTATGGTCACCACCCCCTCCCCCAACTCGGCGTCGTGCTCTGCCACTGACAAGCGCTCTAGGACGCTACCGTGTGAGGGTGCTATATAAATGAAACTTATTGTTGTACTCTGGCGCTGTCAGTGAGCTATATTGAAGTTGTTTGATTATTGGTTCTTGTGATTATTTTAGGTACAAAACTTCCTAAAACGAGTAGTTTTACCTTCAAAGGACTCTGTTAATGCAGAGACAAACCCCTATACGACTCACACCTCTGACTCCAACCTGCACAATTGTTGTGATACAGACAATTCCAATGCAGGGGGAAAATGTCACCGTGACACCCAAGAGAGAGGAACATTTATTGGGGAAGAAATCCTTGGAACTCCAGTGTCTGTGCATGTTCCCTCCAACTCCAATATCTTCACCGAAGAAAAAAAGGAAGAGTTTCCCAAACCATGTGAGATGGCGCCTTCCCCTGCTCAGGAGCACTCCACTGACAATCACGACCAGTCTGATGGCAGACAACTGCTTCCTATTGACATTCCAGACTTTCTTCTTCCCGACACTGATCAAACGGAGCAAGTCCATGAATGTATGTATCTAACTGAGGTGCAAGGTCTTTAGTTGTGAGTTCTAATTTTGTGGAGTCAATTTCAACCTAGGTTCTCAAGCTTTCAGAGCTTCATTCCCCCTCCCCATCAACTATGCCTGATCGCTGCTGCCTTCTCCAATCAATATAATCTTATTCTATTCTTTGTTGAGTTGCTTTATGTGACCTTGATTATGGATTCAGACTTCAAGCTTTCTAAATGTCATACGTTTGTGCCAAATACTATAATTCTTAAATGGGAGTATGGGAAGTAATTTTTACTGAGTCAATTTCATTCCCTTTACACCTGTTCATATCCCATGCTATGTGCCAGATCCCAGGCAGCTGATCTGCTCTGAAATTTGCTGCCACTGATGCATGTGTCCTTGGGTGACATGCCTCCCTTTACCCACTTGCATGTAGAATTTGCCTGGTTTCCACTGGGAACCGGAACTAGCTGTGGGAAGGATCACTGATGAAAACCCATGTCCCAGCACGTTGTCACCAGCGGTCCTCTGTCACAGAGTAAAACATTGAAGAAACAGTGACCTTGTTTTCAGCTTTGAATGGTTTATTTTTCTTACGGAATGAATGGTTTATTTTTGTTCTGGTTGGTGGAAGGCCCAGTTATTCTTACCACAACATACTGAAGCTCTTGTGAATTGCAGTGGAAAGAACAAAGCGGGTTAAAAAGAACAAATGGAGGAAAAAGAAGAAAGTTTATCAGATACCATCAGACATAGCAGCGGTCCCAGAATTGGTCAAGTACTGGGCTCAGCGTTACAGGCTGTTCTCTCGCTTTGATGAGGGAATCAAACTTGACCAGGGTAAATGTTTGCAGTGAATTATTCGCTTTTTTACAGTTTATAGTTTTCATTTTCTGTTTATATTTCAAAAATAATTGATCTGTTACAAATTAAGTAGAATTTCCTACAAGCATGGAGATCTTGTCTTGCAGAGGGCTGGTTTTCTGTCACTCCAGAGAAGATTGCTGAGCACATCGCCAAGCGTGTCATGCAGCACTTTCATGGAGTTATCATTGTGGATGCATTCTGTGGAGTGGGAGGGAACTCCATTCAATTTGCGTTAACTGGAAATAGAGGTACAAAACTGTAAATTGTCTCTCCAGTCTTGTTGTCAGAAATCTGGTCTATCTACACTTTGGATTGTCTATGTTCCACTATCAGTCACGGATGTAAAATAATCACTGGATTGATAAGGCATGTTAATAACCAGCTTCAGATCATCACTTTTTACAAAATGAAATCTTTTCTGAAGTGTAAGGTGATATTCACTAATACTTTACCCATGTGGAAATTTCTCCCAGATATTTTAAAATGTTATGATCTAATTGATAGGCTGCAAACCAATGACGGTCTTGGAATATTTCGTGACTTTGGAATTTTGGAAACGTGATTTTTTTCAGAATGGAGTACTTTATCAACCACACATAGTTTTAGCATCAAGCCATATACAACACACAGCATGGAGACAGTAGATGGAGCTCCATATTCTCCATCTGAACCTCAGAAGATTAGCATACAGCTTTGATTTGACATTTGTGTACAGGTTGGCTCAGTTAGTAGTACTCTTGCTTCTGAGCCAATAGGTTGTGGGTTCAAACCACACAGGATTTGGGACTTATTTAGTATAAGCTGACCCTCCAACTGTAGTGATGGAGGTGTGCTGCAGGTTATATCTCAGTGAGAAAGGCCCAGTCCACGGATGAGATGTTAAACTGAGGCCATGTCTCCCTATTTTATAATTCCTAAAATTGCTATTTTATACATGGAAGTTAAAGATCCAATAGCACTATTTGAAAAAGGCAGGGAGATTCTCTAGGTCTACGGGCCAACAATCCTGGAAATACAATTGGTCATTTACTTCAAGGCTGTTTGTGCGACATTGTGTGTAAATTGGTCGCCACATTCGCCCACACGATACAGACAATCCACTTTACAATGAAAAGTGCAATGCCAAATTCAAGGATTATTTTCAATTCAGGTGCTAGCCACTCTTGAGGCCTTTCTCACTGAGATATAACCTTTGCTTTTCAAGCGCTCTGAGATGCTACCCTGAATTAGGGTGCTATATAAGTACAAGTTGTTGTTGTTTGTGGTTGCTTCACATGACCATTGTTTTATACTGGGAGGTTACTTTCTCAGCATAGTCACTGAATTGTATCCTGTCTATTGGGTTACTTTCTCAGGATGGGCAGAGGAACTTAGTTGTGTTAATTCTTATACTTTTCTAAATAATATTTAGGACAGGAATACCATTAGTATTGTTGGGAGGGAGATGTTATTCCCACTGGTTTGGAATCTTTTGAGGAGTAGTCAGGGTAGACTACGTGGATCAATATTCACTCCTGACTGAAACTGCCACAGCTGATATTTTGCTTTATGTATCCAAAGAGGAATTCAGCTGATTTTACACCTGCAGATCTTGAGATGCTTTATCTTAAATAAAAAGTTCAAAGTGATGTTACTAGGAGTCATTTCGGTAGTTCATCTGGGCATTGGGTGACACAGACTTAGGGTTAGGGTTAGAGAGGTTGAGTTAAAGAAAGCATGTTTTCACATAGAGATTGAAATTCCCCTCGGAAAATAATTAAATTTAGAGATTGTGCTTTGTTAATTCAGAGTTCTCTGTTCCACTTCTTGTCAACACCAAGAATGTTTGCAAACTGTCCGTCATAATAGCCTTCCTCAGACCATGGCTTCTCCACTTCTATCTTTTGGCAACTGGCTTTGAGGGCTTCCTTTCAAGATATTGCACAGGAAAAAGTCTGTAGATTAGCTGCCTGCTTTTTCCATGTAAAGCACTTAACACGTCAAAATAACCTCTTCTCGAAAGTGTTCAGACATTAAGGGTCTATATCAAATACGAATACTTCTTATATTTTTGTGTACCATTTGTTCTCCTGATATGTGTTTCTAACAGTAAAGCTGCAATTTGTATTGTTTACTGGTCAAAATGTAAATGTTTTTTTTAAAAAATGTGAAAATAACTTTTTTTTAAAAAAAAACTGCTAAAATCTCTCTTCCAGTGATTGCTATTGATATTGATCCTGTAAAGATTGACCTCGCCCAGAACAACGCTCGAGTCTATGGTGTGGAGGAGCAGATTGAGTTTATCTTGGGTGACTTCATGCTGCTGGCCTCTGATCTAAAAGCTGACGTTGTGTTTCTCAGCCCTCCGTGGGGCGGGCCGGACTATGTCAACGCCGACATCTTCGATCTGAAAACCATGATGTCCCCCGATGGATATCCTTTTAAAGCATAATGGGTTTTATAATAATGAGTAATGAATTTTATTTTGAAAGTGTTTTTTTTGCGCATTTCATTGGATTCTAAAGAGCAGGCAAAAAATGTCTTGCAGTGCGGTCACTAAGGATTGAGCTAAGTGCGATGGTGGCATAAGTTTTTGCGGTGTTTCTTGTTTCACGTGGCATGTTTTCTCCTGAAAAAAGCTAGTGATATAATTATAGATTTCTTGTTTCACATTTGAAAATGTCTGGGAATATTCTCAGCTATTTAACACTCGGGTTAATTTTGTCTTCAAATACACAGTTACTGCACTTTCTCTGAATGCACCTTCAGATACATTGATGTGAAAAAGCACTATTTTAAATGCAAGTATTATTATAAAGTCTTGGTTGTTAAGAGGTTGTCACTGGTAGTTGTAACGGGTAATTGTCCCACTGTGTAATACTCCATGGGGACAGTTTGAGATGACAAATTCACAGGAGTATTACACAGTAGAAAGCATTTTAATTATTGATATCAATAGTAAGTTGGATAATACTGACAAACAAAAAGCGAAGGATAATCTTCAAAAAAAAACACAATAATAATTTGGTCACTTCAATCTACGACTGTTTGGGACACTGCTGTGCACAATTGGCTGCCACGTTTTGCCCACAACTGTATATTTGCGGATGAACGCGGCAGCCAATTGCGCACAGCAATGTCCCACAAACAGTCGTAGATTGAAAATGACCAACTTCTTATTGTTTTTGGTTTGGGAGGGATTATTATTAGGCATGTGGAGTAAGGAAACTTGCCCAAGGTTTCGCCCTGCCTGGAATTGAACTCAGGTCTCTCACTTGCAAAGCGAGTGCTCTAACCACTGAGCTACAGGACTCCACATGCTCTACTGCTAATAGGATATTAATTGAGACTCTCTCAAAGGGAGTCCTTTTAGAATTTTAGATAAATAATAAACTGACCAGTGGCCACATTTTCACTCAGAATTGTTGGGCTGTGGAATGCCCTGTCAAGCTGGTCGAGGCAGACTCCATTGTGGGTTTCAAGAGGGAGTTGGTAAATGAAGATTAGAGGCTTGAAGGGGTACAGGGATAAGGCAGTGCAGTTGGATTGAATGAGCACCTTGTTCTGAGAGCAAGTGCAGACTTGATGGGCTGGATTGCTTCCTTCTGTGCTGTAAATTTGTATGATTCAATGCATGGAGTTGAATTGAACCATACAAGCCAGGAAAACTGGCTACAATCCTTGCACTGTGCTAAGTTTGAGAAAGAGATAATAAGATAGGGGCTGAGCATCTCCAGAATGAGAGGGCATGGGAAAATTGGGTGGAGCAGATCTGTAAAGTATGCTGGAAATCTGAATGCCAGGTGAAGACAAGATTGGTCTTGCATAGCCTTTATAATAATCTTTGCACTTGATTTGATAAATATAGTAAATAACCTGCTCATACACTCCTCACATACATGTGCAGAGAATGACCAATCAGGTGAAGTATCACAGCCTAAGAAATGTACTACACCATGAATCTTTGGAGTAGAGAGACGGATAATTGTAAAGTGATTTCATGCTGTATGCACATAAATTGGAGCTGATGAGAATTATGAAAATACTGGGCTGTAAAAGAGACTCTAACATAGTCACAGAAAGGATCTCTTGTATTATGTAGTAAATGCATATTGAATATTTTTCTGTTCATCTCAGTAAATCACTTTCAGGCAATTGTGTATAAATAAATGAGCAAGCCACAAAACATTGAGGTAGGAAAAATAAGTCAAACCAATGGGACCAACAGTGTGCTATTAGTCACTGTCATCTTGTACTTTTTGGTGTGACAAATAACATTCAAATTAACTTGTGAAAGAAATATAACAAGATGCTGCTGAGACTTCTGAGCTCTGTACTGTTGCACGTAACCCAGGGACTTAATTCATAATGGGATTAAAAAATATATCTTGAGGAAACTTAGAGCTACTGGCTCCTCACTATCATAAAAACGTCTTGTTAATTAAACTGATTTCTGCAGTTAACCGTTTCCCCAAGGTGATCGCGGATAGCTCAAATCTTGCAAGTCAACGTGATATACAAGAGTTTCCCAGCAGAAAACAGTTTATGTTGGCGCTATAGCAATTCATTAGTGCTGTCCTGCGAACTATTCTTTCAACCCAATGAAAACCAATGATTGATCTTGCTCTACTTAAATGAAAGCTTCCCAGGTTCATGGCAGCATAGTTGGGAGAAATTCACAGCCAGGGCAACAGATTTTAGAACTCTTATGGTGCCAAAGTCGCTGATGTAACCGTGCTCAATGCTGTGGTCTTCTTTAACAACCCCTCCCCATTCCTCCCCCCATACTGTCTCTTCGGTCCCTATCTCCTTCAGTTCAAACCGGTAATTAAGGCTTTCGGTTAATACTTTTGTGGAAATCTGTAAACTAATTTCAATTAGTAGTACTGTATATTCTTCATATGATAGCCAACATAACAACAACAACAACTTGCACTGGCAACTTGCTTATGATCCCCTCCACGCAGGGTAGTATATCATAGTGCTTAACCGAGCCGGGAGGGAGGGGGGAGTTGGCCATAAGCACGGTCGAAGAGGAAAATCTTCAGACAGGACTTCAAAGAGGAGAGGGGGGGGGGGGGGCAAGGCGGAGGGATTGAGGGAGAGTGTTCCAGAGTTTTGGGGTGCAGCGGCTGAAGTGTGACCTCCGATGGATGAGCAGGAGGCTTGTGCAGTCAAGCGGAGGCACCGGGTGGTGGATTGGGGAATGAGGGGGTCGGAGAGGTAGGGAGGTGCCAGGGAGTGAATGGATTTGAACACGAGAATGAGGATCTTGAAGTTGATCCGTTCGGTGATGGGGAGCCAGTGGAGCCTGGCCAGAACTGGTGAGATATGAATATGGAGTTTGGTCTGGGTCAGTATGCGGGCGGCAGAGTTTTGAAGCTGGATCTTTTGAATTGTGGAGTTTGGGAGACCGACGAGGCATGCGTTGGAGAAGAGCAGGGAAAGGATAGCTGCAGTAAAAACTATGTGTACCCAGTTTCAGCAGCAGTTGGGTTGAGAATTCCTTTAATATTGCTTCAGATGTGTTGTTTGCCAGCTATTTTTCACCAGCTCTGTTTCTCACCAGCTCTGTATTTTTCTCTTATTTTGCCTTGACCTGTTTTACATGCGAAATTTTCAGGCTCTCCCAGAAGATTTCACCAAACATAGTTTATTTCCTGCCCCGGAATGCTGACATCGAGCAGGTAAGAGTTCCTGTTCCATCCAATACCAGTCTGTCCTGCTGCTTAATCTTAGAACTTTTCTGTTCAAATCCTTTTGAATAAACTGAAAATTATTCCTTTGCGATATGACATTTTAATGGTGTCCGGAGTCTATTGTACCATTTCCATTCTGTACTTCATTTTTGAGAGTGCTCAGTATAGATCAGATTTGCTCCACAACAGCGGTATTTGCTAGAATTGAAGTAGCTTCACTCCTGGTAAATTAACCCTGAATTAATCCAGTCTGGTTTGTGAATTTCCCATGTTTTTTCCTCTCAATTTATCAGAACTTTTATCTGTGATTATTACAATGTAGTAGTAACCCCCCTCCACTTTTTGTCCATTTTCAAAATTTCTTAAAAACTCACCACTTTGACTTACCATTTACCTCTCATCCCCCCCTCCCCCAATATTGTACAACGGTTTGAAATGTGGGCTATATAAGTGCAAGTTGTTGTTGCAGAGTGTCCAATATCTGCAGGAATTGGGACAAGATCCATTGTAGATAATGAAACTGTACAGATATCATGTTATTGCTTGAAATGTATTCTACACCACTTCTATTAGAAGTTATACTGTCGTATATCACACTATAATTACTGTTCTCTCTGACTCTAACTCTCTTTGGTCTCGCTACACCTAGCTGCCCTTTCAAACCTCCACACACAATACTTCTGTTTCTGACTCTATCACTATCTGTGTCTTGCTCGTACTCTCTTTCCTAACCCTGTACCTGTATCAGATTGCTGAATGACCAAACTTTACCTTGTGCTGCCAGCGCTACACACTCAGGGAAAATTCGAGCTGCTAGTTATTGGTAGCAATTCAATTTTTCTCTGCTATATTTCAGCACCACTCGATTTCAGCACTGGTGGCATTAAGCAGACCTATAAGTGGATATGCAACACTCCCTATAATGCTTTCAATAATAGCAACATCATGAGTTTGCGTTCCTTACTGCAGATTTTGAAAGCCTACTGGAGGCTGCAGTCAAATGCAGTAAAAGATTTGTTTACAGCAGTTCACACTGTTACAGGAAGCAATTGGGTGAAACAGCTTTAACGTTTTTCACTATTAATCTGTCAAAAAATTGCAGCTGAGAGTACTTGTATGTGTACCCTTTATGTTTTATCTTAAATCTATCAACTGTACATGTATAAGCTGGTGTGAGATGTTTCCCTTCAATTCTGGTTACACACCACTTCCAGCAGGTGGCACTTTCTAATCAAAGTCACCACACACTGACAAGCAAATCAAAGTGTGTACTTTGTTCTTCGTTGTCATGACAGCTGTTCTGTTCACTGTTTCCTGCAGTCATATAATTAGTTTATTCTAGAAGGAAGTATAAAGTTTAAAAAAAAGCTTCATTTTTACAATACTATCGCAAAGCATTTTCAGTTAATTATTGCCTAGTTTAGTGACTCTATTTGTAGCCTGGAATTAGTATCTGTGGCTGCAAAGACCATCAACCATCATAGGGCATAGAATGTGTTTTTTTCCCCAATCTAACACCACTTAGTTCCAGCACAGTACTGTTCTTTAAAGATATGATGCCCCAAACCACACAGAACCCTCCAGATGTGGCTTCATCCGGTGAGCTATACAGGGTTAAAATAACTAATTTCACTTTATAGTCAAATACTCTCCAAAGCACCCAAATATTTCATTAGCATTGTTTTGATCATAATCACTTGCACATTGACTGGACACTTACAGAATCAATATTCTCACCTAGAATAATTTCCTTCTCCATCCATAGTCAATAGATAAACTTCATCAAGGACACATTTAATATTTCTTGTTACTATATCCAAGATCTCGTATTTATCCACAATGAAATCCAAATGCCAGTTCCTCCAATTGGTAAAGCCAGAGTAAGCAGTAAATCTGAACCATACAAGGTCAGAAGGACTCCCAGTTTGATCCTTGACCTGTGCTGAGTTAGCTGAGAAACAATAGAGGAGCTGTAATTGCCCTTGATCCCACTGGCTGGAGAGGAATAAATTTGCCAGATGTCCCAATTCTGATCCCCACCCCATGTGAAAGTTCTCTTCTATGTACTTTGATGCCTTCCACAGTTGAATAGTCTGGTTCATTCTCGCACAAGGTACTGGAGCCAGTACTGTAGCTCAGTGGTTAGAGCACTCGCCTCGCAAGCAAGACACCTGGGTTCAATCCAAGCAGGGCGAAACCTTGGGCAAGTTTCCTTACTCCACACGCCTAATAATAATCCCTCCAAAAAACAAAAAAAATAATAAAATTCGTCATTTTCAATCCGCGACTGTTTGTGGGACACTGCTGTGCGCAATTGGCTGCCGCGTTTCGCCCACAAATATACGGTCAATTCACTTTACAGTATATTCTGTGAAGCGCTTTGAGACGTCAAGAAGATGTGAAAAAGCGCTATATCAAATGCAAGGATTATTATTATATTATTCAGAATCAAGCCATAATCAAGTATGGAAGATAATTTTTACAATATTACAAAAAATGCTCTCTTGAAAATATGTGAATGGTAGGTACCTAGAAGAGACCGCTGTGGAACAGCAATAGAGTGCCCCCATCTCTCTCCTCCCCGACAAATTTGTCCATTTATCAGTACCTTCTGCTTCCTGTTACTAAGCTGCTCTCAGTCCAGCCGATTACAGTAATTTGCTACTAAAGTCATGAACTTCTTACAAAGCTATGTTTCATTCACCAGTGGACTCCTCAGTAAATTCTTCCTCTCTGGTCGTATCATACAAAACACCATCTCCAAATAGAAATATTACGTGTTCTTGTCTGTAACTATCAAAACCTGCCTAACTAGAACATGCCATGGTCTGGTAGGTTTTCAGAACATCAATGCACTGAGGCTTGACTTGGAAACAAGACTTGTTTTGTTGTCAAGGCCATTTTCCTTTATTGCCACAAAACATGTTTCTACATGGTTAGGATTTCTTTGTGGACAGACCCAGTGTTTCACAGGATGCTCTGTGTGGATCATATCTGGCATACAATTGTCACAATATGATACAACTATGCAGAGTGACCGTAGAAACAGTTTCTATCTACCCCATAGAATAGATCATATCAGGAGGAACATCTTTCTCGGCTATTATTGGCAGCAATTAAGCTTCTTCCGGTTTAGAATCCAGTGAAATGAGGAAGAATAAAACCTTTAAAAATTTAAAATCTCCCACATATCATTTGAATTCTAATCACATTAGAAATATGTTGATGCATCATTGTAGTTATCCCATAGAGAGAGGAGGCAAGCAGCGTCTCCTTGGAGCTGAGCTGGCTCCAAGGTGACGTGATTGGCAACAGACTCTTAGAATTGTGTCAGCATCTGGAGTGGTCTTGGTTGTCCGATTCCTGAGCCGTGGACCTCTAAACTGCGGGACACTACTGATGAAACAACAGCCAGCCTGGCTCACTGACAGGACTTGGAGGAGAAGACTGATCACTGGGATTAGGGTTTCTTCTCACTCATCTGCTTAACCCTCAAACCAAAGACCTAATGGCTAGGTAAGCAGGGTGCATCCCTCCAGGGAGAGAAGGTGCATTCTAATTCAGATAGAAGGAATTTTTCATGTGAACGTGGCATCTGTAAGTGGAACTCTGTTTAACTTGGATGCTCTTAAGCATGATGATGGGTTTCTGTGTGTGTCTGACATTTGGCTGAATCCCCCAAAATTGATACATCATTTCTATTGTTTTATCTGGACCAAAAGGTTGTGGGTGGGTTCAAGTCTGAACTTCAATTCATAGGCTGTTTTGTGGGACTTTGTGTCCAGGCTTGACTATGCTAACTCCCTCGCCGGACTTCCCTCCATAAGCTGCACATCATTCAGAAAGAACTCTGCAGCTCATATCCTTTCCCACACTTAAGTGCTGTGAGCCAATCACCCCCATCCATGCCTGGCTTCCCTGGATCCCATCTCCCACTGGGGAATCAAGCTCAAGATCCTTGTCCTCACGTTTAAAGCCCTCCATGGTCTTGCACCTCTCCACTTCTGCAGCTTACTAAAACGTTAGCAACTGTCCGCCTCCTCCGCTCGGCCAGAAAGATGGGTTTCCTTCACCAGAGTTCGCTGAAGCCTGGAATCTTCTTTGCTTACTTTGCAAACTAGAATATACAAGACATTAGTTAAGGCACAGGTGGAGTATGCAGCTGTACATTATTGCCCCCTCCATTATATAAAATAAATCAGAGCCACAAAGAAGAGGTAGTGAGAATCTCTTAGCTAATACCTGGAACCATTATAGTTTTGATGAAAAGCATAAAAATTTGGAGATTTGTTCACTAAAGTATAGAAGGTTAAGAGGGTATTGAATCACATTGAAGCATTTGAAATTCTGAAAATAATATAATAATAATAATCCTTGCATTTGATATAGCGCTTTTCACGTCGGGAGGACGTCCCAAAGCGCTTCACAGAACACACTGTAAAGTGAATTGACTGTATATTTGTGGGCAAACGCGGCAGCCAATTGCGCACAGCAATGTCCCACAAACAGTCGTAGATTGAAAATGACCAATTCATTATTGTTTTGTTTTTTTTGGAGGGATTATTATTAGGCGTATGGAGTAAGGAAACTTGCCCAAGGTTTCGCCCTGCCGGGAATTGAACTCAGGTCTCTCGCTTGCAAAGCAAGTGCTCTAACCACTGAGCTACAGGACTCCACAAAAAGGTTTGATTGGATAAATGGCAGATTATTTTCACGAGTTGATGGAACCACAAAAGCGGAAATATTTTGTGAGATCACAAGGGAATTGATTACAAGAACATTTTTATCCAAAGGGTTATATGAATGCATAATTATTATCAGAACAGGCTTCTGAAGCTGGAACAATAGAATTTCCAATTGGAAAAGCACCGGAGCAGTAGAAATGACCTCCTGTGCTTGTGTGATTGTATGAGAAGTAGCCAGGTTCACCAATGTTGCAGATTAATTGAGAGGATGCTTGTGTTTCATTGACATCACAAAATTTTTCA